GTATTCCTTACTATCATGTATATCTAAAAAGAATTTTAAAGAAGAAGAAGAAGAAATATCAGTTATTCTTGTTCTACACAGATGAGAAATGAGCTGATCAGGCCAAATGACCTCTAGTGGACCTAATCCAAGCAGTGAGCGTCAGGATTCAAGCCTAGTTTCCTCTCCCCCTGCTCAGCATCCTGATCACCTCCCTGTCACACAAGCCACTCCACAGCAAGAAGACGACCAAATCTTAAAGGACAGCTTCTTGGGATATGATGCATTTTATTATATAAAATCCTAACCACATTTAAAGAAATCCACAAAATCTAGAAGAAAACGTAGCATTTTGAAATACTTAAGAACGTTTTCTTTTTTCTTCATCTTCCTCCTAACAAGTGTTTTTATAAAAGACTTTTCAATTTCTTGCGCAGAGTTTAAGTAAGTGCATATGATTAACTGTTACTTCTAAAGACATTAAAGATTTCTATCAAAGAGCTGTCCTTACCATAAAAGTCTCTTTCTATACCACCCACTCCTCCTTACCAGAGCTCCAGAGCATGCATTTCAAAGGAGACCCTACATTTCAAAGTCTCTGAAAAGTCTTGGATACTACTACTTCTCTTCCCTACCAGAAAAATTAAAAAGTAAAAAAACCCCACTGGGAATGTTTCTACTTTAGGTTTTTTTTTTCTTTTTAAGCTATGTTTTAATGTCCTTAAAACATATCTAAACATCATTAAAACAAAAGCATAAGAACTTCCTTCCAAGTCTTCTATAAGAGAATATTATTCACAAAAGTAAATATATTTACATTGTATTCATAGGGGTTTGTTTGTTTTGGTACTGCGATTGAATCCTCGGTGCTCTGCCACTAAGCCACTTCCCCAGCCCTTTTTATTTTTTGAGACAGGGCCTTACTATGTTGCTTAGGGCCTCACTAAGTTGCTGAGGCTGGCCTCATACTTGTGATCCTCCTGCCTCAGCCTCCCAGTGCTGGGATTACAGGTGTGCACCACCATGTCCAACTTGGTTTGAAAATATTAATTTGGCCATTTCATTCTGCCACCAAGCATTTGGTGAGTGCTTATTCTAAGTGTTGTACACAAAACAGAAAACAAAACCACCAATATTCCTGCCCACACAGGGCTTACAGGCTAGCCAGGAAGAGATGAACAAACATAGACATCAATACACAATGTCTCGGGTGGCATCGGCTGCAGTGAAGCAGGGTGAAAGGACAGATAGCAGGAGAAGGGTGCTGTCGGTCTCTGGGACATAGAGTCTCTGATAAAATGTCAACAGAGAAGAAACTAAAAGAAAAATGGGGCTGGGCAAGCGAATACCTGGGGTAGGAAAGAGGGGCTGAGGCAGTAAGTGCAGAGGCCCCAGATGGGAATTTCCTTGGAAAGTTCGAATCAGGCAAGGAGATGAGTGTCACTGCAGCCTGTGAGTGACAGAATGGCACATGAATGCTGAATAGTAGACAGGGCCCAAGATCAAAGAGGGGGCATGTAGGCAATGGTGAGGAGTTGGGTGTTTTTCAGAATGAAATGGTAGCAGAAGAGCTATATCTGACTTGGGTTTTGAAGGAGTTAAGACAAAATGTGCCTCATGGGTATGTTGATTATTTATAGCTGATGTCACTGGGGGACCTGTAACTTCCAAAAGGGCCTGATGGCCTGACTCTCCCTGCAAGGGCAAGCCTTAAAGATGCTCTGGGGAATGGTGTCTTTCCATACCAGGGCTGTAAAAAAGCCTTGATCACCAGATACCAGTAACTGGGGCTTCAGTGAACCTGGACAGACTCTGAAGTGACCCTTACCTTCCACTGGCTTCTACTCCCCCTGTTCATCTCCTAGTGGCATCCTAAGAATTTTACTATCCCAGGGCAGCTCTTCATTTATCCCCAGCTATCCCTTCACAAATATATTGTCCTTTGTCTAAAAAGGATAAAAGCTTCATGCTTTGGTCATTTCACTTGGGACATTTAATAAAACTTTTTTTTTTTTTTGCATTTTGCTCATTCATGAGCTTTTGTATTCATGGGGTTCCTAGATTCGAACAAAGAGCCCACATAAGAACTAAGCAGGGTAGCAGGGACCTCTCTCCCTTGCTATTTCAAAAAGGTGATTCTGCCTGACAGCTGGAAAATTGATCAGAGCAGGGGGCTGCAGAAGTGGGAAACCATTCAGGAGGGGACTGAGGTCATCCAAATGATAGGGCAATGGCTGAAATGAGGGTAGCAGCCATGGAGGTAAGGACAGCACTCAGATTCTGGATGCTTCTGCCATGAGAAAGCAACGAGATTTGTTAATGGATTCCATGTGGGGTATGAGTAAAGCATGAGAGCTGAGATTGATGCCACAGAGGTTGGCTTCGGTGCCTGGAGAGTTTCACTTACCACTTAGTGACCTGGGAGGATGGTAGAGTGGGGGAGGTAGCCTTCATGTATTATGTTCGTTATGTCACTAGTCATTTGAATGTAGGCATGAGGTGCCATGGGAAGATTGTGCTTTGTTTCACTTCAGATAAAGGAAATTAGGAGCATTTACCCACATGTCCTAAATTCTTCTCAAATGAACAGTCTTGTGGGTATCACATGGCTCTGTTGATGTCATAAACTTACCGGTACATTTCAACTTCTGCTTCATGCTTCAGTATCTACTTTCAAAACTAGGAACTATTACTGAAGTCAGAAGATGTTCATCTTCTAACAGGTGACTCTGCATGACAAAAATTCACCAATGCAGTCTTTTGAGTCACTGAGTCATCTGTGTCTGCCAAAAAAAAATCTGGCCCCTGTCACCTTCTCCAGAGACTGAAGTTCTCCCATTTCAAAGACAAATGTAATTATTCCCTCTTAACTGTGAATCAACTTCTAATACAAATGCTACAGATTCATCTATACTTTCTTTTAATGGAGACATTTTCTCATCCTGTTTGGCTTAATATAGAGTCTTCTCACTAGAAATAATTAGGGGAAGAAAAGTAAAAAAGGAATGGTGCTTTGAGAAAAGAAAAAGGTCGTAAACAACTAACAGCAGTAGGTTTTTACAGCCTTGGAAGAAAGAATGTAATGAGATCAGAGCTCACCTGGAATCATCTGCTGGTACAGAGACTGTTAAGGAGTCTTCAGGAGATATCTCCAATTCTCCCTCTCTACACAAGTTTATCAAGATCACAGGTTTGGACGATGATTTCCAAATTTATCTCCAGTGCAGCCTTCTCCTCTGAACTCTGACTGCTTCTCTGACACCTCCATTTGCATGTCTTAATGACACACTGTCATGGTGTCTTAGCCTATCAGAAACATTCTGCTCACAAAGTCTGTAGGTCTAATTAACTTTGGCATTCACTTCTCAGCTCAAATATCCCTTCCCCAAAGAAGTTGTCCCTGACATCAAGGCCAGATGGAATTGTCCTGTTACACATCTTGTAGCCCCCATCCCATCTCCATAGCCTGAACTCTGTCTGTGATTACTTATTATTTAGGTAAGTATTTGCTTACTACCTGGGTTCCCCTCCAGATGTGAAGCCCTGTATAGCCAGTCCATTTCTCCTGTGCTCATTGCTCTAAGCATGTAGACCCAAACTCTTGGCTAGTGTACACGAGCACTCAATGAACATTTGGAGAACAAATGAACGAATACTGTGCTGGTGTATACAGACCTGAAGTAAGAGATTGAAGCCAAGACTCTATGGTGCATTACCTTCGGGAAAGACTCCAACTCCAATACACTGAACAGAGTCATATTAAATAAGGTTGATCCAAATGAGTATGTATATTTTCTTGGGGCTTATTTATCTCATCAAGCATCAACATTATTCTGTACCTCTGAAACCACAAAGCACACTAAATGGGGAAATCTGTAAGACCAAGTTTAAAAAAAAAAATCAGTAAGTAAATCATACACCGAAAGGGGAGACCTTCTCATTGGTATTGTAAGTACAATAAAACAAAATTGGTTTACAACTATTTATTTGGCAATATAAAGAAAAGACAACCTTCAAAACTTTCTACAAGGCTAAAGCTAGTCTGAATTTTTAATTTGAGATATATAGAATATAAGCTCATTGGGGTTTTATTGAAATGAATGCAGAAATTGGATACATAATGACGAGAGCTTTCATAGTTTCCTATTACCGCCCCACCACCCCACCCCTCCCCCAACCCCATCCCTCCCCCCACCCTGGCATTAAACTGCTCATTTTCAAAATCTCCTGGATTTTAGCAATATGACCTTTGTGGTTTAAAAGGAAATTCAGTATTCTGTTGGCCTGACAGGCCTGTCCCCCTCCTCACTACACTAAAATCTAAGGGCAATAGGGGAGGGGCGACTTATATTTGTCCTTTAGGAACAGCTTTATCAGCGGGATCAGCTTTAACACCCCAAAGAAATCATGATCTAATCTGACAGCTTGGATGCAGAAAAGAGGAGAAGTACAGGAAAAGAGTAGGTAAATAAAATAGAAGATTATTAAAAATCAATAGTATTTTCCATTTTCAAAAAATCTCATATCCTAAGTTTCATACTCAATTTCTTTTTGGCAAGACCTACCTCTGTCTGCAAATTTATATCAATATTTAAACACGCGCCAATTCATGGTAATCTCTTAGCTACTCAAATATTACAGTAAGATTGATTTTTTTTCCCTTAATGGAAATCAGATACAAACTATGCAGAATTCAAGTTTCCATTGTGACTGTGTAAATCTGTCACATACAACTCCTGTGGAACAGACACATAGCAAGCCCCAAGACCCTATTATAGTTACAAATTCCTGTATAGTAATAGGAAAAATATTGTGAAGATAGGAAAAAAAAAAACTTACATGCAAAAAATGCAAATTAGTAGTTTTTTAAAAAAAGACTCAACTTTGTAAATTTAATGTTAAAATTTCAAGTGAATCAGACTGAATGTTTGTGAAAAGGTGAAAAATATATGTTAAAAATGCTCTCGTGACACATTTTTAAAGTGAATTAATTTTTTTGGTAAGTGGCTACGGTTTGATACCTCCTTCATCGGACGGTCTTGTGACCTCACTGCAGCCTGAAAAGCTAGGGTAAATCTCGGAGATTTCGGACTTGTCATCTCCCAGACCTGTACCAAAAGTACTGCTCGAATGCGATCGAGACCGCTGTCTCCTATATTGACTCGCCTTTTCTACATTGGAAGGAAAATATTCAGACATGTGATTAAGTGACTCAAAGAACAATGACATTAATTAAAATCTCGGTGGGAAAGAAAAACAATCCCTTATTAAATAATAATCCAAAATCTCAGTAAGTTTCTAATCATCTATTCCCAAACTTCAGTATGCATTAAATCTACTACATAAATGACTTAAAGGTTATTTATACTCATTTGAAGTCTAGATTTTAAAGGAGATATTAACGGATAGGAAATTGACAAGGACTAAGAAAACACTGGCAAACTAATAAATTTCTATCAAGCATAACATCTGGTTATAAATAATTGCTTTCCAAAAATGTCACCAGGCATTCGGTACTTGTCTTTTCTTTATTCTTAGAAAATTAAATGACACAGCTCAGCTAACTGTGTGGATCAAATTAGCTATTTGAGTATTAGAATCCCTACATTACATTGGACCCACAATTTTATTAACATCAACAACTAAATTTAGAGTAAAATCAGAGGGTAGAGCAAGATTTTAATGATAAATCTATGGTATTATATTGTATAAAATAACTGTATAGCTGTCAAACCTTTTTCAGACCTCATTTGCTAAACACGGTCTGAAAAGTCTGAAATGTCAAGTCATCTATCACTATATTCAAACTATTCATTTTTTCCTTTCATTATATACATGCCACCTAAATGAAAAGCCAAGCTTCCTATGGAAACTATTCATTTTACATGTAAAAGCTCAGAGAGAAATTTCAAATTCTTGCAAGTCTATTCAAGATATTTATGACACTACACAGGAAACCTTTCTACCATTCCACATATTATTTTAAAAATCTATCTTTAAAATATTGTTACTGTGTATTTCATAAAAACCTGGTGCAATCCAAATAACTGCATTTGTAAGCCCAGAAAGCCTATTAAATAATATTCACTAATCAAGAGCAAATGTAAGTAAGATCTAGACACATTTTTAAATGAATCGAGGACAAACAAATCTAGAATTTATTAAAAAGCTCCTTTGCAAGTTTTACTTTCATAAATAATTAATGGTATTTTAAAGTAGCAGAGAGCTTATGGAGGTTTAAGAATTCTCAACTTTAAACTTTACATTACCCGGTTGCTACAAGGAAATTCTACAGGCATAGTAGACTCACTTTCAGGACAAAACCACATAAAAGGAGAGGAACTCAGAATGTGAGCAATACCAGAGAGCATATGGAGACTTCTAGACTGAATATTGTCTTCCAGGGGATCGATGTCGAAGATGGAGCCAGGATCTGTGCGCCAAACTTTGAGGTCTTCCACCAAGAGGAAGCAATCAACAAATCAAGAAGGAAATTTTAAAAGCCAGCACCAAAAGAGAATAGAGCAAAAGGCAGAAGTAAAAAGCAAATCATTGTAATGTTTTGAGCAACCATTAAAAAAAAAAAGCAAATCCACTGTGCTTCAGGATCCGGAGAACAATACTTTCACATGTACCTGTTGAGAAACTTTGCAATCAAAGTTAAGTTGCCTGGTTCCTCCCTCACTGAGGTACCTGTGACCCTTCACGCAAGTCATGTTCCCTGGGGGGCAACTATGCAGCCCCCACGGCCCCCTGAACTCCCCATCACCCTTGCCCTACTGAAACAGGCAAAGTGTTTGAGTGAGAGGATTTTTTTTCTTTCCCTATAACAAGGACACATATTAGGAATGTAGGTAATGGCAAGTTCAGTTTTCATCCTGAGTCTGTGGGTGTAAATGAAACCATATAAGATCATTTATCAAAAAGTGCTGAAAGCCAGGCGTCCAGCACAGAATCATGAGGGATAGAAAGATGAACAAGAGCAGCTTCTGGCTCTCGATAAGCACAAATCAGTTCACTGCTCTGGTTAGTGAGGAGACTGTCCAAGTCTATGTATCCTCCTCCTATTTCAGTTGGAGGCAAAATCCAAATTAATTCACTTCCAAACTTATGAGTTGCCCTTGATCACAGGGCACCCCTGAAATGAGCTTACAGTCCTAAAATGAATTGCACAGTGGTATACACCTGGAAAATAAGAGCCTTAGTTATGGACATATGGTAAAAACGAGGCTGAAGTAAAAATTAATAAATTGGAATTGGAAAGCTCATGTCAGTTTTAATTAATATTACACAATGCCAAGCATTATTGAGGGTATAACCTAACTCCTTTACACTGCGTATATTCTAAAGTATGTACTACAATTATCCTCCTTTTATAAATGAGGAAATTGAGACACAAAAAGATTGAGTAGCTTGTCCAAGATTATGCAACTAGTAAGTAGCACAGTCTCTGACAAAAATAGAAGCCACACAATGGGCTTAGTCTGCATTACCCAGAATGTCTCAGAACCTGTATTTGCATGCATGATACAGAAACTGACTCATGCAAAGTTTTATGTTTTGTTGAATGTACTTCATTTTGTGCTTTCATAGGCAACTGCTCAATGGAAAGAGATTCTCCCAATCAGAGAAAATAAACTGACTTCTGGGGTGCCCTGGAAGTAAATAATTTCGAGTTATACACCTTAGAATTTTAAAAACAGTAATAGTTTCTATCTCAAAGGGTATGAGTACTGGATCCAAGAGCCTGAGGTCTACACAGTTTCATGGTTTTCAGCAATGAGTCATCATTATCTGGCCTCTGATCTCTGTAGAACCCTGGGGTAAATCCTCACTCTAGTGAGACAAATCAGCTCCTGCACTGTCCCTTATGAGACATTAATTAGTACACAAGATGAAATCCCTGTTTCTGTATTACTTTTAATGAAAAGATCACAGTTCATCCAACCAACTTAATGCAGTCCTTTAAAGCAATCAACTTGGAAAGATCAGTCAAGCTATCAATTGCCCACAATTGTGTTTGTGACATTTCTTTGTGAAATACTTTTGGAGTCACTTTGGTAATCATCCCATCACTTCATGCTCTGACCTTAGTACTCTTGTACTAAGATATATATACTTTCCCACCCAACTGTCCTCTAAAGGGCCGTTCACTAGTACTATTTCAGAACACAAGCTCTTAACTTTTAAAGATGAAGAAAATCTAACACTGAGATTACAGAGAGGCATTTACATACTATGGGTACAAAAATATTCTTTGACCTATAGAATTTAAATAGCTATAAAAATTCAGAGGCTAACTACTCAGAAGGAGACAATAGTCAAGAGTGGTTGATATATATCGAAAAATCAATAATTTTTCTTCATAGCCCTGTTTCATACTCCATCTGATCTTGGTCCATATCTCAAGCCACATTCAACACTATTCTCCTAGAATTTCCCCTAAGAGACTTAAGAGATAGGAAGAGTAGGCCCCTCCTTAAATTATGGGATGTTCAGATGGTTCTCAAATAATAACAGTTTAGAATTAATGTTTTTAAAATACAAAAGATTCATATTATGTAATACATCAGAACCTTTCTGGCATGTCTGTGGCAAAAGGACCTAAATGTGGTATGGTTCTTCCTGCCACTCAAGTATACAATGTCTACAGTACTATATACCTTAACCAAGGACACAAACCAAAGGAAAACAAAATAATTGTCTAATCATCGCCCTCACCCATGTCTGGGTTATTTCTTTGTTTAACAAATAGAAACAAGAAGACCAGAAAGCTATTAAAGACTTCCAAGAAAAGAAAGAATTTCCAAGTAATAGAGAGCCTTTGCAATTATAGCTGGTGAATGCCTTGAATCTCATTCAACATGATACCAAAATAACACTTGACCAGTCCATTTTGAATTGGACACCACATCAAACACTTGACAGGAAGTCAACTGAATAAGAAGGCTAGTGCTTAGAACAAGTACAATATTTTTGACCACACACACCTGCTGAGAAAGACCATGGGCTTACCAACAATGATTCCGGGTCTCCTGTCCATCTCCACCACGTGAGGCTGGATACCTTTGTAGGCAGCGTCGCTGACAACCTGAGTGTTCTTCCTTACCCGCTCTGTCACGGGATCGTCAACCACAGGAGTGAAGCCCCTTCCCTTTGTCTTCTCAAAATCTTCATGATACTTTACCTGAAAAAGGAAAAACAATATTAACTCAAAAATGAAATTTTTGACAAAATGATCCATGTTACTACATAAGCTGCATCTGGGCTATTTTCTACATTTATGTATCTTTTCCAGTTATTCTAAAAACAATATCAGAAATCAAGTGCAGACATTTTCACCATGTTTTTAATCACTACGCTTGGTGTCTCTTTTAAATTATATATAAATACGTATTTCTGTAAGAAATTGTAAAAAGATAAATATTTTAAAATTTGATTTACTTTCTAAAACACACTAATTTAAATATAATCTACTTTCCTCTCTTGACCTTCAATATACAGTAAAGTGAAAAGCTACTTACAATTATTCAAGAAAACAGTATTGTTTAAAATTACATTAACAGATTTACAGATAATGATGTATACATTTTGGGTATATATAGTTACAAATTTTTTATTTACAAAAAAAAAAACTATGTTACAAAAAATTGTAACCATATATATACCCAAATTACATTTATTACAACATGTACATTTACAATTTTTCATGTTCTAGAAACCATTGAATAAAACACTGAATAAAACACTTTATAGATGAACTTTATGGTAAATAAATTACATTTCACGAAACTGTCAAAAAAAAACATCTTTTTCACATTCTTTATGAGAAGCAAACACACCAAACTCTATCTTAAAATTAATCAAAAAGAAGGTTAAACAAATGTCTTTTGCAAAATGCATTTGTAATATTCATGTTAGAAATAAAAACACACTGAAAAAGGACACTGAGAAAAATTATTTTATTAGACTTAATATTTTCATGACATTCCAATGTGATTAGAACCCCACCCACAGGCTCATCCAAGTTTCCATGCTTTATTAGTTATCTAAATTAATAGTGAACTAATGCCATCCATATACTGGTCTTGCTGTTCCTTAGTATCTTTTAGTCATGTTAGAGTGATCTGGTTCTACCCTACCATTGAAATATGATTTTGTGCTTCTTTAACATGTCTCAGACCAGGTGTATCTAAAATCAGACTTGGTCTGCCTTTCATCAGTTTTTGGTCCTGAGTATATTTTACCTGCAAAGTAAACAGTAGACATTAATAAGACAATTATAATGCCAAAAACCAGGATATAACTTATTTTTAAGTTTTCCAGATGAGCCAAACATATGCAACAAATTCAAAATTATTTCCCGGGTAGCTTTTTCTTGAATTCTATTTTGTTCTAAAATACCAACTAAAATTCCACTCTCAAAGATCTACCTTAAAGATTATTGCAAAATTGACTTAAATCTATTAATTGAAAGCAAATGTGTATGATCAACAGTTGCTAGCAAAATAGTCAGTAAAACTTATATTTAAATTAAACAGAAAAAGTCTAAAACTAAACAGCACTTAAATTTATTTTTGTTTCTAAATTTCATCCTCACTTCCTGTCACAACAGTGTTGAAGAATGCATTCCACGTTTCCCTCTAATTCCCTTTAATTTTTTTCTCCTTAGAGAATGAAGAACAAATCTAGTTTTCCTTCTAAGCATCAAAAGCTTAAAGGTAATTTATGTTGGACACACCAATATTTCTGGACAGAAATGCCACTAGATAGCTGGAAATTATGAAGCCCTAATGCTGGATGCCAACCAAGGTGCTCTTGAAAATGTGCCAGGAACAGGGTCTGTGTTCTTTACGACTGACCCTCAGGTCACTGCCATATACGAAGCTAATTATGTGTAAGATCAGGACTCCAAGTACTAAGATCTGAGTGCATACATATAATTCAGAACTGAAGCCCTGATAATCACTAAGAGAATACATGCTATCCAAAGTAGATACTGATATGCACCCCAAATAACTTTCATGAGTAACTGAATTTTGTATCAAATGCATTTAAAGACATTTTTCCTCTAGGTCCTCACACTGGAGGAATGACTCACTTTCTATTTTGCTTTGTGCTTAACAACCCATGTTCAATGAAAGACATCAGCAAAATGACAATTATTTAACCTATGCATCCAAGACTTTATCATTTTCAAAGATTCTAGCTAAAATAACATGAAGTGTTGTTTAAATAAACTGTAAATATAACTGTCAGTCACATCTGGAAATACCATTGAAGGACGAAAGGATAATGTAAATTTGTACAGTGGCGGCTTTTGGAAGTCATTTGAAATAACACATATACTTAAAGGAAATATCACAAGTTTATTTTCACAAGGAAAAAAATTAGACTGCAAATAAATTATAAAGGACATGTCCTTTGTGAGAGTCCAAAATGAATGAAACCACTTGCCGAGCTAATATTTTCTTGATTCTTCTTTACTTTTTCCATTTCAGGAGTTACACTTAAAGCCGTAGCTCTTCCCAACTGACCTTTATAATAAACCTGTCATTTCAGAGAACAAAAAAGTAGAGCACTGTGAATCAATTCCATTAAACAGGAGGCTAGCAGTGCTTAGTTTTAAAGAGTTATCTAAGGAAGAAAATCTATTTTTTTTTAAAAAAAAGGCATACTATCAGGAGTTTCGTCATACTTAACATGCTCATCTTAAAGAATCTATTTTCTTTAAGTTTATTTCATCCCATAATAGTATCCATTTGTCTGAATCACTGTGGACATAGTCAAATATATGGGCATAGCATCATTAAATCTATAGTAAGCCTTCAAACATGGAGGACTATGAGAGGCTCATGGATATTAGTTACAGGTCCTCTTGCCCATATAGAATGGCCCTACACAGTTGTGGTTTCTTAGGAATTAACTATGGTAGAACTTTTTATAAAGATGTGTTTAAACAGGTGACTGTGGTCATCCATAAAAAGGCTAACATGCTTCCCAGTTCTCCATTCCTCCTTCTCGATAACCATGTTCCTGGTTGAAAGTAATGAGGTCACATCAAGGACAACATGAACATCTAACTTCTCCAAAATATAGTTGCTAGGAAAAGTGTCAAACCATAACCTGCCTTTGCTTCATAAACTGGCCAAATGACTTTAAGTGTTTGAAGAATAAAAGATTTCTTTGAATACAATAGATTTCCAAATTTCCTTTTCCAAAGAACCCAATCTATATGTTAATGACTTCAGAAAAGAATTTTTCTCTGGATGAACTGCATCCATGGATTATATAAACAAAGGGGAATTAGAGCAGACCACCAGTCAGTGTCTAAGTAAAAACTGCCAGCCTCGGTTCAGGGGGCCGTAAATTGGCCCTGTTTCCTGTGCTCTGTTCAACCAAGCACACTTTATCATTTCTCCCGGGACACTGCCCAGAAATACAGTAATAATCAGAAAGAGTGGGAAATGGGGCTGGCCGGAGGAGGCTGGAGAATAAGAACATATGCAACTCAAAAAGAGAGTGGGAGAGAGTGATTTTAGAGCAGGATGACAGAAAGTAACCCTGTCTCCCTTTGGGGGAACCACAGCATTGTTCAGCATGAAGACAAAATAAGGACAATCCACAACCCACAAGGAAAAAATCATCATGGTGTGGCACAGGGAACCCTGCATCACCTGGGACCTTGAATTCTTTCAGGGAAGTTGTTAAGCCACCGAGAACAGAATATCAACTCAAAGTTTTGAAAACGTGGAACTACAGTCCCTTCACCTATGTATGGGCATGAAGTTTGATATCTTAAATAAAAAAAAAAAAGAATCACTGAGAAGATCCCACATTGCTGAGGTTCTTCTGATTTTCTTTCACTCTCTTCAGCTCTGGTGGGTCGGAAATGGCAGTTGCTTGTTTAATCTCTCCTCTGTATTTTACCTGTGGAGGAAAAATAAGAATTTTATTGGATAGAAGAATGGACACAGAGGACCGACGAGACTCAAAATTCACCTTTTAGACACTTTTTTTAATAGTACCTCTACGTCAACCTTCCTGTTGATTTCTACTTCTAGATCCTAATTGGTCTAACTTAGCAACCACAAAATGTTGGTTATATTGTTTTAAAAGGAGTTGACAGTAAATACTTGGCTGTTCCATGTCAAAAGTAACTGCAAATTCCACAGATGAAAGTAATGGAAATATACAGGAGCATGCTTAGAAAACTCCAGAAGGAAATCAGGACAATAGAACACTGACCCTGGAGCTTCTCCTTTCAAAAGATCTCCTACTTCATCCACCTTCCAGGGACATGAGAAGGATAAATATGGTTGAGCTTGATTTTTCTCCTCTACCTGGGGCAACATGCTCTTAAATAATGAAGCCTTTCAAAATCACTGCTTTTGAAAGAAAATACCTATTGTTTAGATTGGGGGAACACTCCATAAAAGGGCAAAAAATGAAAAAAAAATAACTATTGGGGGGCCCTTCTGACTATCAAGAGGCTGGGGTTCAAATTCTAACTCTCCTCCTGCCCGCTGTGGGTCCCTGGCATGTCCACAGATCTCCAGACTCGGTTTCCCATGTCCACCTGTCAGAGAAACGAATAATGCTGAACTCACAGGTTCAAGTGAAATATCAGCACAGGGTCCAGAACAGAGTAGAGGTGACTCACAATTGTTAGCTATCAGTGCTTTATTCTCAATAGATTAAGAAGGATTGAAGAATGGTTTTCCATTTTGTCCGTAAGGTCCCTTGCCAATGAAGCAGGATTTCCCTTACCCTATTCTAATGGATATATTTTCTTTCCCACAATTGACAACAGATCCTGCTTTATATACCCTAACACATTTTCAAAGATTTACCAATAAACTATGAGACTCACAAGGATAGGCCCTGGGTCTTATCCATCCTTGTGTTCCAATGATCAGGACTATGCCTGGCACATTTGGGTACTTAATTCATACTCCCAAGGTTCTGGGACTTACATGAGAGAGACAATCATAGTGCCCTTCAATGTGTGTCTGGGTAAAGGAGCATTTGAATGTGTTTAAAGCGTCACAGTGAGCATTTTTTTAAAAATAAGAATATGGACTGTTCAATAAACTATAAAAGAAAACAGAAACTACTTGCCATACTCAGCTGCTCCTGGTTTCGCCTCACCCTCTCTATCTCTGGGGTCATGCTTATCGGAGTGGCCTTATAGTTTTGCTCTTTATACTGGAGCTGGAGGACAAGGTAAAAAATGCATTGTGATTACAGGAAACCAATGTGAATCAATATATTGGGACTGATTAATAGAAATGTCAGGTGACCACAGGGCACTCATCAGTAGAATCTTCATTAGGATTTTACAGTGTATTGCTAATAGACTGCATCTTTTTGTAATGATCCTACTCTCTCATATTTTCTTTGTCAAATGTTTTAAATTAAACCTTTCATTGCTATTCTTCCAACTGTATTATTTACTGGTGGCCCATCTGAGTTTGATCTTAACCATAATAATGAATTGTCTTTTCTGTGGATTTGTTGCTTCCTAGCACTGAAGTGTTTTTAAATATAAGGTGATAATTTGATAAACAATGATTGTGCACTCTTATCATTAAAAAGGAGGGACAAGGCTGGGCACAGTGATGCACACCTGTAATCCCAGTGGCTCTGGAGGCTGAGGCAGGAGGATGGAGAGTTCAAAGCCAGACTTAGCAAAAGTGAGGTGCTAAGCAACTCCATGAGACCCTGTCTCTAAATAAAGTACAAAATAGGGCTGGGGATGTGGATCAGTGGTCAAGTGCTCCTGAGTTCAATCCCTGGTACAAAAGAAAAACAAAAACAAACAAATCCTAGGTGTCCACACAAATCCTAGGTGTCCACTTCTGGGTCTGACTGCAGTATTAAAGAAACCATAAGCCTCCAGCTTCCCTTGTCTGCAAAGTTCCAACACTGGGATTCCCTACCCTCTGACCCAGCATTATGGAAATTTTTTTGACCTGCTACACAGAAGTGTTCCTTCTTAGCTGGGGGATAAGATTCCATTGTTTGTAGTCAGCTTTCTCAGCGATTCCACAATACCACAGAAATAAATGATCATCAAACACAGAGAAACAATGGCGTGTGTCAAATGAATTTTTGACTGGCAAAAGCAGAGTTCGAGGTTGAAATCCCTTTGCAAGAAATGCCACCGGGACAGTCTTAATGATTTTTTTCAGAGTTTAAATTGAGCGTGGGACACCTGCAGGTAACATGAACTTGAAATGCAGTTTCTCCAGAGGCAAAGGAAAAGAAGTTTGAGAAGCTTGGAAAATACACAAAAAAGGGTTGGGCTCCTTCTGATGTAACCTCTTTGGAAGTTCTCAATGATAGGCTTTCTTTGTGCCATGGTATGTAGTGTGAGAGCTTAGGAAGATTTCTGTGACTGAGATGATTTAAAGTGAGGAAAGTTTCAGTCTAATCTCTATTGGTGGCAAACATTCCATGTGCTTTACAATAATATCTCCTAAACACTCTAATCCCTGTTTTATAGATGAGGAAATTGGGGCTTCCAGGGCCGAATGGCTTAAACCGCAAATAAGGTCTGGAGTGGGGTCAAACCAACCATATAGGGTCCATATTCCTATCTTCAGTTTCTGCCCTTTGCACACCATTTTTCTGATGCCACACCTATAAATAATACCTATGCTATTATTTATAGCATAACTTTTTATTAAATATATATAAATAGGTACCTGGGATTGAAACTGGAGGTGCTTAACCACTGAGCTCCATCCCCAACCCTTCTTATATTTTATTTTGAGGTAGGGATTCACTAAGTTGCGGAAGCTGGCTTTGAACTTGCAATCCTCCTGCCTCAGCTTCCTGAGCCACTGGGATTACAGGGATGTGCTACCATGCCTGGCTTAATTTTTTAAAATAAGGTTGTTTTAAGATAGTGTTAAATGTCTACCCTAGATTGAAGACTAGTTACTCATCTTTTAGAAGAAGTTGTACATTAAAACAATATAATCACTAAGTCATGGACGGGGTACCCAGGGGCACTTGATATCTATCTCAAATGCCACATGTCGCATGAACCACATGATAGAAAAACCCAGGGACTGGGTGCTATAACTCTATCACTTTTAACACAGCTCCCCTCTCCACCATCATCCCCTGTCACCCCTCATCCCCGTTACTCATCCCACTTTTCCTCTCTTTCTTAGAGCCTTGGAGCCTGACCATAATCGGTTTATCAGAAAAGGTCCTTCCTCACAAAATCCAACCCAAACCATGATGAATTCTTCAAGATCTAACTCTGCAAGATCTTCCTTCTTTGTATTTCCATAGCACTTTGTAAGAGGTATTATTTCTCTTGATTAAATGAGAGAGTGCATGGAGAGTACTCAGAAAGCATAGTGATCACTCAATGAAGACTACTGTGCTAGCAATTAAACAATGCATAACAGTTACTTATTCCATGTCTGTCTCTTCTAGAGACCTTGAACATATCCACCAACACAAACCCTGACCTTACAGTGAATCTCACCTTCAAATTCCCCCAAGAACAAGAATAAAGTAGACACTTAATAGCAAAAGCCCATGAAGCATTGGCTTTATATGGGGAAGTCATAAAGATGTGTGAAATGTTATCTGCACTTTGAAGGAATGACCCTGTTGCAATGGCATACATTCCAGTGACAGTTTATCTGCACAGGTCCATACATTCATTGTATATTGGCATTCTATAAAATAGAAAAAAATACTTAAGGAAATATGATCACATTGCTGATGTTCTTCTGGTTTTCTTTAACTCTCTTTAGCTCTGGAGGATCAGAAATGGCTGTTGCATGTTTAATCTTTTCTTTGTATTTCACCTGAATAATTTATAAAAATATAATATTAGTTGTATTCGACACAAAAAAAATAGTTAAGTGTTCTTTACTTGTAACTCTTACATAATTGAAGTTTTTAATTCCAATACCACTTTCCCTTCAATGGGAACACAGTTTTTTATTTTATCTGATGCTTTCAGGATTTCTTTATCCTGAAATACAAGTAAATTTATATCTATTCACCTATCTACCACTATAGAAGTTCCTTAATTAAAATAAGCAAATGTTGCTTATAAACATTAAAAAAAATTATGATTAGGCAGATGCACAAAAGAACTTGGAAATTAAATAATAACAATAGTGTATTATTTTCTATGAGTTTCAATTTATTAATATGTTAATTAGAGTTTAACACATATTTAAAGGCAAAAGTCAAACTGAGTTAGCCATAGTGTCTTGGAACACGCTTGTCTGAGAGCACACAAATAATCCAGAATGGGGGTGGGGGAGATAAAGCAACCACAAAAAAATAAAAAAGAAGAAGAGAAAAGGGGAGACAGAGGAAAATGTACTGAAAGCAAAACCAATGTATCCTGATTACTATAAGGTCAGTGCTGGAAAGACCAGAAGTGTTTTCCCCCAGCAATCATGTTAGGTAAAAGTCCCTGTATCCTGGCATCAACTTCATCCCAAAGCTGCCCTGTCAAATGTTTACCAGCAGATCAACACCAGCACACAGTGATGCACATGGCAAGAAACAGCTCTTTAAACTTACAACACAATCAGTGGGGTTCTCATTTTAGGCGGTATTTTAATATATCCAAAAATTCATGGAAGATTGGGTTCAAGAAAAAGAACATGTGCCCCTGTTGTATATAAGGCAGCACAGGCTACACTTAAGGAGTACAAGTTGAAATGTAGCAGACTTAAATCTACACACAATATGTTCTAGAAATCACTTGGTGATGTTTAAAATGACCAAGTCTGCAACCCAGGTTGACTGTTATAATGAACACATGCCTCAATACCTCAGAGGTCATTTATGTCTTAGCACCTGTGGATTTAGCACGAGTCACAATGCCACTATGAGTCCAGACCGGAAACAGTTAAATTGGAAGTTCAGCAAGACAGACGACTTCTAAATAAAATTCAAAAGCAGTTCTTAGCAAAGAGCTAATAGTGAAAAGGCTTGTACTCGGAGGTGGAAAATGTCGAGATGTTTAAATGTTAGTGAATCACCTCTCAGTTTGACAGATCTGGCTAATCTTGAAAGGGCAACTTTGCATTTGAATACTAAACAGGAGTTTATGGCCCAACCTCGGAGATACAGAGCTATGCATTTACTGTCTGCTAGAAGAGGCTGAGGGGTGCTGGGGGAAGAAATGATATACTGTACTACTTTGTGTGATTTTCCCCGGGTGAGAAGCTCAACATGATTAAAGATGAACATTTTAGTTTTTCATAGAGCTCTAAACTAATCAAAATGGCACTGTCATTTCACTGTAGGCTATAGAATCACACACTACAGAACATTTATATTCCAGTACATTGATAGGTACATTTCAAATATTATCATTTGGAAGCGAAGGAAATAAACATTTTAAGTTTCTTTTCCAGACTAATTTTTTTCTGTCAGATCTAAGTGCTGTCTGATGTGGGGATCAGAGCACCACGCTCATATGCACTCATTAACACCCCCAGCCTCCAGGCCCAGCCTTCTTCAGGAAATAGCTTCATTCATGCTACAAAGGTTTTATTGCAATAGCATTCTGCACAAGTTTTAGAATTTGATTTTAAAGTGTGTTTTACTACAGCATCACCTTGCCCCTCCTACACTTTCTCCAGAAATGCCAGCACACATTCTTGTTCTCAGGAAGCCATAAAACTACCAGAGTTACCCTTAGATGAGTCTCATCAAGGCAGTTCTACTTGGATTACTTAAAGGAAAGTTCTGGAAGGTAGTGTCTCCAAGGGTGAAGATGAAGAGATAGGGAATTTAAGGAAAGAATCTGTTTTTACTTCATTAACAAGAAACCAATGTATTAAATGCACATGAAAGAATACCTATCAGTGAGGATAGCAATTTTCCATTGTAAATGTCAAGCACAGAATGGAAGAAAATTTAACTTAAAACATTAAGCACCTCTTCCAGCCTTCCCTCCATCCAAAAGTAGTTGGAGGGTAAGTTATTTTACAATTTACAGTGAAGGCATGTGGTTTTCTTTGCTAAGAGAAATCGAGAATAAATGAGGCTAGAAACAGAAATATGGGCATATGTGTGAGAAAAAGCATATAAACGTGACCAACATGGGTAAAAATGCTACTCTTTTTGTGGTTACACAAAATACCTTTATTTTATTTATTTTTATGTGGTACTGAAGATTGAAGGCGAGCGCTCTACTGCTGAGCCAAGACCCCAGCTCCTCTTTTTTTTTTTTAATCTAAACCTTCACTGAAGTCACTAAATAAATGTTTTAGAGCCTTTGATCATTCTATCAGGGTATAAAGTTTCTTGCCTCCAAGTACTGGGGAGGTACTAAAATGCATCCTTTCTCTACACAATTTAAATACAGTGAAAATTCTGTTCCGAAGAGGAAACATAATCCCAGATTTCATTAAAATGACCTATGTTCTCTTTACTCTGATTGATCAAAATAAAAAGCTGTTGCAGGTTTGGGAGGAACAAGACTCCAGTTTTCATTCTGAAAGGTAGGCCTTTGATATTTGATGAAATCTTATTTCGGTAAAGCGGAGGGGAAAAAGGGAAAAGCAGCTGGCTGAGTAAAAAAACTAGAAATGCTTATCTAGCTTCCATTTGCTTCCAGGAAGGATAGTTAATGTGATCAAGAACTTACTGAACTAATATTTTGCTGATTTTTCTTCACTCGTTCCATCTCTGGAGTACCTTTTACTGCTATGCCAGCTCCTACTTCTTCCTTATAAAATACCTTTATTATAAAAGAAGGAAAAGGAAGACTATAAGTTTATTAGAATTCAAGTCCTAGATTCTATTGTTATAAAAGAAAACCCATTTTTTCAGTTTTATAGTTCTGTGAGTTGCTGCTTCTATTTATGAGTACCAACATTATATGCATCGATTAAATAACCCATCATGATAATAAAAGTCTAACATGGATTCCATATTCCACAACCTTACAAGAAACCCTTTAATACTTGCTCTACAGCATGATAGGTACCTTCGCTGGCTGCAGATTATGTCACATGCAAATTTGAGAAAAATCAAAATATACATTATAAAAGCTCACTAAGCAATCAGCATTTGGTTCAAAAGTGGTGTAAAATTTTAAGCTATCACCATCCTTCCAAGCTCAAGGATGCCCTTATTCTCTTCCAAGAAAATATTAGCTCTATCATCAATAGCAACATTCATTCAAAGTCTATTTTCCTCCTCTTCCTTATTCAATAACTTTCCCCCATGTCTCTCCATCCTTACCAACATCTACCCCTTTCAGATACAAAGCACACCAAAAAGCAAAAATGCTCAACTGAAAACCAGTAATTCTAAGAAAAACCCATGACAGAATTACTCCCCTTCTTGACATTTGGTGATCCAGTGAATCCCAGGGAGAGAGGAAGAATAGGCATGAAAAATGTTTGCTGCCCCCCCCATCAAAGCTAAACCTCTGGAATGCCATAAAATCACAGGAGTCAAAACACAAAAACAGACTCATCCTCTGATCCTTCCAGTGAGAATTTTCCATTTCTCAGCACAGCATGCCCTCTTGTGTACCTGAGCAGCATACCCTGAGAGCTAAAACTGGCCAATTAATTTAGGAAGTGGAAAAGTCCCTCAAACTGAATAGAATTTACATTTTTTTTATTAGACACTTGCCAATGTTACATTATGAAATTGACTGTAAGGTCAACTTTTACAATTTTAGAATAGAATTCAGGTTCATACATCCGTTAAACGTAGGCCCAATCTTAGTGAACCCAGCTGAAGTCATTCTATTTCTCAAAATAATAATATGAAAGTCTACGAATGAGTTATGAACTAGTAAACCTCCAGATATAGTATCCATGCAACTAATCAAAGAGCAGAAAGAAAATCACTACATGTGACTATTTTCATCTTCCTCAAGAAAAATCTGTATGGAAGATTTCAACTTATTTCCTCAGTTAAACTTATAAAATTCAGTTAACAATTGTCATTTGTACCTAATATAAAATTTGAATCTGGAATTCCAAAACAATCATGACAAGTCATAACTTATGAGAATACCTGGTACTTTTGAAGAAGTAAAGAAAATACATTTGATGGAAAAACTCAAATATACCCCCCCACACATAACACACACACACAAGACAATAAGGAGAAAAGGCCCATTTCTTATAAAATAAAAAATTTCAATGGGCAACTGAAAAGAAATACAGATCAGGCATCTCTAATCCAAAATTCCAAAATCCTTTAAAATCTAGAACTTTCTGAGTGTCAACAAGTGGAAACTTCCATACTTAACCTCATGTGATAGGTTGTCAAACAAAACATCAATGCCTCTAAAGTATGATATAAAATTTACCTTCAGTCTATGTGTCCAGAAACATCATACGAAATTAATTTCATGTTTAGACTTAGGTCCCTTCCCCAACATATCTCATTATGTACTTGCAAATATTACAAAATTTTTTTTTTTTTTTATTGTTGGTTGTTCAAAACATTACATAGTTCTTGATATATCATCTTTCACACTTTGCTTCAAGTGAGTTATGAACTCCCATTTTTAGCCCATATACAGATTGCAGAATCACATCAATTACACATCCATTGATTTACATATTGCCATACTAGTGTCTGTTGTGTTCTGCTGCCTTTCCTATCCTCTACTATCCCCCCTCCTCCCTCCCCTCCCCTCCCCACCCTTCTTCTCTCTCTACCCCCCCTATTGACCTTCATTTCTTCCCCTTGTATTATTTTTCCCTTTCCCCTCATTCCCTCTTGTATGTTCTTTTGTATAACCCTGAGGGTCTCCTTCCATTTCCATGCAATTTCCCTTTTCTCTCCCTTTCCCTCCCACCTCTCATCTCTGTTTAATGTTAATCTTCTTCTCATGCTCTTCGTCCCTACTCTGTTCTTAGTTACTCTCCTTATATCAAAGGAGACATTTGGCATTTGCTTTTTAGGGATTGGCTAGCTTCACTTAGCATAATCTGCTCTAGTGCCATCCATTTCCCTGCAAATTCTATGATTTTGTCATTTTTTAATGCAGAGTAATACTCCATTGTGTATAAATGCCACAATTTTTTAATCCACAAGACATAACAATCATAAATATATATGCCCCAAACAATGGCGCAGCTATGTTCATCAAACAAACTCTTCTCAAGTTCAAGAGTCTAATAGACCACCATACAATAATCATGGGAGACTTCAACACACCTCTCTCGCCACTGGACAGATCTTCCAAACAAAAGTTGAATAAGGAAACTATAGAACTCAATAACACAATTAATAACCTAGACTTAATTGACATATATAGAATATACCACCCAACATCAAGCAGTTACACTTTTTTCTCAGCAGCACATGGATCCTTCTCAAAAATAGATCATATATTATGTCACAGGGCAACGCTTAGACAATATAAAGGAGTAGAGATAATACCATGCATCCTATCTGACCATAATGGAATGAAACTGAAAATCAACGATAAAAGAAGGAAGGAAAAAGCATACATCACTTGGAGAATGAACAATAGGTTACTGAATGATCAATGGGTTATAGAAGACATCAAGGAGGAAATTAAAAAATTCTTAGAGATTAATGAAAACACAGACACAACATATCGGAATCTGTGGGACACATTGAAAGCAGTTCTAAGAGGAAAATTCATTGCTTGGAGTTCATTCCTTAAAAAAAGAAAAAACCAACAAATAAATGATCTCATGCTTCATCTCAAAATCCTAGAAAAAGAAGAGCAAAACAACAGCAAAAGAAGTAGAAGGCAAGAAATAATTAAAATCAGAGCTGAAATTAATGAAATCGAAACAAAAGAAACAATTGAAAAAATTGACAAAACTAAAAGTTGGTTCTTTGAAAAAATAAACAAAATCGACAGACCCTTAGCGATGCTAGCGAAGAGAAGAAGAGAGAGAACTCAAATTACTAGCATACGGGATGAAAAAGGCAATATCACAACAGACACTTCAGAAATACAGAAGATAATCAAATATTACAAAATTTTTAAAAATCCAAAATACTTCTGGTCCCAAGCACTGCATATGAGGGATACTCAACCTATAATCGCTACTCACCATACTAATGTTTTGTTGAGTTGTCTTAATTCTCTGAATTTCGGGAGTATCTGCCACAGTGGAATAGTTAGAAAGCATTTTCTCTGCTTCATCTTTGTACTTTTTCTAAAAATAAAAAGTAATACAAATCTGATACTTTGTGTGTGAGACAGAGAGGAAGGGAAAGAATGGGACCATTTCTTCCCACTCCTCCATTCGCACATGATTCAAAGTCACATCTTAAGATTCAAACTAGTTGTTGACATAGCAGCAAAAATAAAGGCAGTGAGCAAACCATCAAGTGGGACAGCCTCACCTCCGTCAGGATATGGCCCCATTCCAGTCGGTTCCAACACTTCAGAGGGCCTCACCTCTATGCTCTTCCTAAACTTAGGACCTGCTCTTCCACGAGCACCTCAGGTCCTGCTCCACATAGTCTGGATCTCCATATCTACTTCTCTACATGCTTCCAGATTTATGCTTTGCTTTCTACTTTAGATAAAGATCTATGATTTGGGAAAACATACCAGTATTTTTATAGTTAAGATTTTAACAATTTCAATTTTCTATCCACCCAATGAGCTACAATAAATTCCAATAAAACCTGGGCAATACTTTATACTTTGCACCAGCACACACATAACACTTGCTATGTAATACTCAACACACATTTACTTAGTTAACCAATCCCACAAGCAGTACCTATTATTATCCCCATCTGTATCATATACCAGCTAGTTAGTGTCAGAGCTAGGATTGAAGGTCAAGGACTCTGGTTAGTGAAGTTAACTATGATGGCATATTGCTGCTTGTTAAGGAAAGTAACTGCTGTTCCTGTTGAACTGCAGCACTGTGTCATTCCTCTCTTAAGGAGTTCACTGTAGCCTCAAGTACCTAAAATCCCTTAAATTCTGATGTACTCTAGTGGCACACTCAAAATTTCAATGCTTCAGGCAGGAAATCTGGCAGCTGAGGAGCTGCTTCCTCTGGGAAACCTTTACTCTTGATTCTTCTGCTTTCAGGTAGTACGTATCATGGTTCGTGATACTTTATTTGTTTGATTTTAGCCTGTAGATCCCCAAGGGCAAAACTATCTAATTTTGCATGCAAATATGTAAATTTTGTATGCAAAGAAGTGAACACTGAGGACAGGAAAGCATGCACTTCAGGACTGTCCTGGTTGCTGTACTCCAAGGAGGATGAGAAACATACTTTGACATTTGGACTCTGCCATCTTGATGCTTCCATTTTGAACCAGTTGATGTTTAGGGTTCTTGCTTATTTTTTAACCAGAATATTAAAAAAAATTGACAAAATTTTGTCAAAAATTACTTTCAACATTTCCATTAATCAAATTTAATTCTTTGTGCAATTTTCTATAACATTTAATTTTTTTCATCCCCTCTACTATTTTTTCCATTGGGATTCATTCTTTTCTATATAAATATTACAGCACAAATACTAATCATTAATGAAAGTTCTTGCCCAAATCAGATTTTGTAAGCAACTTCTTCTTCTTCCATACATATTTACTTCTAAGGTCATTGTCTCTCTCAATTTTTTTTAAGGATATGTAACAGGTAAGGTATACTTGGCAAATATAAATTTTACCAAGAAAGCTTAGCTCTTAATTTTTACTTCATATTAAATTTCACCTGATACCTTGTGCATTCTTAGCCACCACCATTTGATTTGGAGCTGAATATTTTAATACAATGGACTATTCACATGAAGTGGTCAAAAGACATAATTCTTTGGAATTACATTTCTGTAGAATGAGCAAAGAACATTCAAGCCAAGAATGTAACAGAGTCCAAAAAAAAAGGTCAAAATGTTCTTGGACTCAAAACAGGGGGCCAGGGGGCCTTTGGCATTCCAGAAGTCTCCTGAATTGAATAAAAAACAGTTGTCCTTTTAATTAATAAGGTTAATTTAATTTGGCCAATGATTTCTTCATAACAGAGTGTATTGACTTTGCAATGCCTTCAAAAATGTACAAATCATAAAGACACTTGAAGCACATGGTGACCGGATATTAGAGGACATTATTCTAAACTTCTGCGTTCTTTACCAACCTGGCTACAGATTTCAGACGCCCTCTTGGCTCGAAGCATATCTGGGATATCCACGTTCACTTGCATTCCTTTCCCCTTAATTTCATTTTCTAAGTCTTTCTTATATTGCTTCTAGAAGAACAGAAATTCGTCTTAGTGCTTTGCTTTACCTTTGATAACAAGGTAGGTATTTATGTATCTGAACATCAAAGCCACCCAAGTGGAAGTCACATTTATGCTTTGGAAATTCTATAGAGGACTCCATGTGAGAGGACTCTGTGTGTTTGAAACTTGGTGTCTGCTGCCTCCTCACCTGGCTGGCCATCTCAGAGGCTCTCTTAGCCCTCTGCACATCAAGAGTCTCTGCGCTGACCTGCATTCCTTTCCCTCTAATTTCAGTCTCCAGATCTCTTTTATAGTCTTTCTGCAGAAAATGAAACACGCCGTTAGTGTTCTGCAACCATTCCAAAAACAGTGCTAAAAAAACCGTGATGTCACTTTGAACCAGGACCAAGTCCTATAGAATTAAGTTGTACCTTTATTTCTTCTTGTCTTTTAAAGGACAAGAAAGTTTAACTTGTGGTAGAAACATGATATGGAGTGACTTAGTCATAAGTAATCTGAAGGCTTTTGTCTACAAGCCTAAATTTTTTTTAAAAAAATGAGCCAGGTAGGAGGAAATTTTGTATTTCAATATAATAAATTTGATAAATTGTTGGTAAGTATATAACTAATTGATAAATAGCAATAAGAAGTGATCGTAAATTGTTGCTTTTTACAATTGCTGCAACTTGCTGTTCCCCATTCTAAAATGAGGTTGTCTCAAGTGTTTGGGCACTATGGGGCTTAAATGAATGGTAACACCCCATCCCTAGCCTCCATGATTGGTTCAGGGGTAGGTGCACTTCTTTTTCAGTGGAAGAGCTCAGAAAGGACTTTCTCTTTCCTTCTGGACATAAATGAAGAAGGATTCAGCCCTGGAGCTGGTGGAAGTTTCTTTGCAAACAAAAGAAGAAAACCTGAGAACTGAAAATGAGAAACTGAAATTAAATCACATTACAGTTCTATATTGTGTAATGATGGGGATTGATTCTGAGAAATGTTCCATTAGGCAATTCCATGGTTGTGTGAACATCTTAGAGTGTTCATCACAGACCTAAATGGTATAGCCTACTACACACCTGAGCAATATGGTAGCTATGTTACCTAGCCTGTTGCCCCCAAGGCCATGAAGAGCAAAAGGACATAAGATTAAATCAAGTATAAGAGAAAAGGGTGCAATCCAGAAACTCAGTAAATACCAGGTATGAGGCTGCTGCTGGCATAACAGCATGCTGTTTTATAGTAATTTGTTTAATAAGCAGAAAGAGCACACTCTAAAATAACAATAAGATGTACAGTATTAAGTTCATACATAAACCAGTAATGATTGTGATCATTATCAAGAATAATGGCCAGGCATGCTGGCACATGCCTATAATCCCAGCAACTCAGAAGGCTGAGGCAGGAGGATCATAAGTTCAAGGCCAGCCTCAGCAACTTGGTGAGGACCTAAGCAACTTAGTGAGACCCTGTCTCAAAAAAATAAATAAATAAAAAGGGCTGGGGATACACCTTAGTGGTTAAATATTCCTGGGTTCAATCTCCACTACCAAAAAAAAAAAGAATGAATGTAACTGGATGTGCTATACTTTTTGTTGCACAATGACATTAGGATGGCTACATGTCACTGGGCGATAGGAATTTTTCAGCTCATTATAATCTTGTGGGATCACCATTGTATACATGGTTTATTATTGACCACAAGTCATCATGTAGCAAATGACTGTATTTGAGCCCTAGATCAAGCCATTGCAAAGAATCCCTCCACCACTCAATCATAAGAACAATGAATTACCTGCTTTCTTAAAAGCCAGCTTGATTTGGATTCTCTATTACTTTCTAAAATTATGTAATTTACATAATGAGCACTATAATTACAGACGTGCATGTCTTTAGGGGCTCTTGTTACGTTTTATATCTGATATAAAATTCAGCAAGCTGTACACTTTCATGTCTGTGATTTCTGTATGCTATTCTTTAAAATAATTTACCTTTAAAATCATTAACTACATCCAATTAAATTTCTTCCAAAACAATATTTCCTATTATGTTGATATACTTAAGACTTGTAGATTCATTGCTTTAAAATAACTACTGATTTGCTAATTTATGATGTTCTAAATAACTTGTTTAAAATTTTTAAATAAATTTTATTTAAGAACTTTTAAACTTTAAGTAAGGACTGGTATGGTGGCACACACCTGTAATTCCCAGCTACTCAGGATGCTGAGGTAGGAGGATCATAAACTCAAGGCCAGACTCAAAAAAAATAAAACAAGGGCTAGGGATGTAATTCAGTAAGAGTACCTCTGGGTTCAATTCCCAGTACAAAAAAAAAATAAAGACCTTAAATACATTATAAACAAATCTCAATCTTAGATAAATGCTGTATTTTTCCTATCTGTTTTTTAACAGACTCTCGGTTTTACTTTTCTAAATAAAACCTCAAGTAGTAATGTTTAATTTTATAATAAAATAATAATATCCTATTACTAGATATTTCTGTTTTTAGGAAGCCTGTTTAAACCCTAAAACAAGCTGGGTGTGACAAGTGCACACCTGTAATCCCAGTGACTCAGGTGGCTGAGACAGGAAGATCACAAATTCAAGGCCAACCTGGGCAACTTAGCAAGACCCTCAGCAATTTAGCAAGAACTTGTCTCAAAATACAAAATAAAAAGAATTAGGGTAAAGCACTGGTGGGTTCAGTCCCTAGTAACAAACATACAAAAAAAAATGCCACCAAATTGCATGGTAGAGGTACATCACTCAATTTTCTAACAAATCTAAAGATGTTCTAAAGCACATAGACTATATCTGGCACTGATTACACCAGTTGTTACTGTTGTATAACAAAACACCTTAAGGCGTAAACACTTTAGAACCTCTGTTGCAATCATGTTTGCCAATGTCCCGTTGGTAAAGAAAGTCCCATGGTCAGGCCCATGGATACAGGAAGGTTTGACTATTGGGGTTCACTGGCATAACAATATACTACATTGCTACTTGAAAAATAAACCTTGAATATTAAAAATAAACTATGGCAAGTACCATACATTGGTTGAAAAGGACTTGAGAGTCTGTTTGTTTGGCAAAAGAAGACATGACTGTGATTAAAATATAACCACAATACAGGTGATTCCTCTGAGCCTATCTTCTTCTTGGTCCCCAATAACTAAATGTGCATTATATTCCTAGCATACAGTCTCAAAGAACAAAGAGAAAACCAAAACTAGCATACTGTTGAACAAACTAATGAACACACTAAGGAAAAACCTAAATGCTAAAACATACCAATTTTCTGGAAAAGGCCTATGTCTTAGAAGCCTGCTCTTCGGCAAAAGGATGAAATACAAAATCTTTTCTCGAGGGAAAGGATACTTTCAGTTCCTTCATTTCTCATCTCCCATGAGGACGATTCCAAATGCTTCTTCCCAACCCCTGAATTCTCACTCACCCCATCCCATGCTCCGGTCCAGTAATTCCCTCCTCATAATAAGAAAAAAATCAGAGAATTGTGAAATTATTATTATTATTATTAAAAATGTATATAAGAGGGCATGAATGGAAACAGAATTCTGGTTAAGAAGCTATTTTAAGACCCTGGGGACAGAGATGGCAGCTTTGACGAGGCAGGGGAGATTTCAATGGATTTAGAACACCATCGTGGGGTAAAGGCAACAACACTTGCAATGAGAGGACTCAAAGGGACTTCTAAGATTTGTTTGGTGTCATTTGATAATGACAGGAAGAGAACCTGGGAGAAACTTAAGGGTTTTGGTTTTGGCATCTAATGTTGAGATCTCATTATACACAATCCATGTGGACAACAAAGGGTAAATGGGCACACATTCATATTCATGGTATAGAACATAATTTTTTATAAGAATGGAGGAGACCTATATGAAGTGACATGGGAGAAGGACCATAACAGTAAATGAATGGGGAAAAAATGAACATAGGACAAAGATTACAGCATGACTGCATTTAGGGGGTTTTTTTAAGTCTATTGTGTACAACTTTATATAAATAAAAACAAATGTGAAGGCTCTACAACTTATAACAATAACTCTCGGGAGGAGAAGAGAATTAGGGGAGGAGGCTGAGAAGGTTTTCAAGTTTCTACTCAGCATCCTCTCACTGCTACCCCAACTGCCATTTCTAAGGGAAGGCCTTACTAGTAAGGAATCCTGTGCCATCTCCCGGTGCTCTGTCTAAACCAATCACAGCAACTCATTTCCCTGGCAAGTGCCTAACCCTGGGAGTTAGGTAGCACCCAAAGGAGTAGGAATTCCATGGTGGGCAAATTAGCTACGCCTGGCTCTCCAGATTCCCAGGGTAGGAGTCAATCCTGAGTCAGCTATGTCTAACTTTAGGAGTCACAGAAGAGCTCTCTGAGCAGCCCCACTGACATCCCAACCTAACTGCCTTAAGGTGAGTGAGTCCCACCCCTTAACCGGCACCCCACTCTCTCTCCACATATATTTCTTACAGGATCACCTCATCCTGACCCCTGCCTTGCTCCAGTGACCCTTAAATTGCTGAGGAAGTTCAAGAGGTGAGTCCAATCTAGGGCATTTCCTTTGAAAATATACATGGTCTGACTCCTACAACTCTGTTCTATGATATCTATCATATCAGAGCATCAAAAAAAAAAACTTCTAAATTAATATTCTGTCTTTACTTGTCTTATGTGAAAAGGAAAATAGTACTGGATGATTACATATGGTCCTTCAGGATGACTAATGCCTCAAGCCCAAATGCTGACTCTAGTAATTTCAGGCATGGTGAAATCAAGGGAGGATATTTTAAGGATGTGTAATCTCATAGAAATGGCTACTGTTCTCATGTAATAAGTGGTTTTCAAGTTTTTCTCAGTAGGTTGGAAATATAACTATGACTAGAAGCATATGATCCGTCCTAAAGAAAACATACTCTGAAAATATTTATCGTATCCTGGATGAACATGAAATTTGTTGAATTACAGAATAAAGGGATTAGGGAATATGTGTGTCTATGTGACCTTATCTTATTAAAATGCCTTTTCTCGAGCTTCCTTGAATGTATTTAAAGGATATGAGCAAAGCAAAAACTATACATTTCTGAATAAATATAAAGATTTGAAATGGTTTCCATTCTAAACTGTCAACCAGACACACGGCTTTGAGAAATCCCATGGACTAATTGACTTGCTGATCTGATCTGTTGAATTCCCAAGACGAGTTTCAAGGTAGGTAGGAGCTGTCTGCTTACCTCGCTGGCGATCTCTGTAGCTTTTTTGGCACGCTGGAATTCAAGGGTGTCAGTGCCAACCTGCATTCCCTTGCCCTTAATTTTGGACTCTAGGTCTTTCTTGTATTCTTTCTGTAAAAAAGCAACATTTTACAACATTCAGAAACTCCATGAATAAACACACCTTTGGAGTCAGTGATCAAAAAGGCAAATAACCATATTTTCAAAGAGAGGGTACACAACTTACTATGTCACATGAATGATCTCACCTGAAACTGAATTTTCTGAACTGCCTAAAACCATAATCTCTATTCTCACTGAAGAAGGGTATAAAAAGTGCTGAAGATTTTTAGTGTACAAAAGGCAATTGCCAAGAGAGTCTTCATAGGAATCATACTAGTGGCTGGAAGATAGAGATGTGGATGTAAATGGGTTAAAGTTGTAGAAAGAGGACCAACTTTGAGGACAGCACTCCATCGCTGTGTGACAACAGAAATATTTCTTCACATTTCTGATTAACGCAGCTGTGAAATAGGAATACTAAAAGATCCAAGAGGGATTCACAGTGAAGATCAATGGGTTAGCGTATAGCACATAGCCCAGCACAGGGGGTGCTCAATACTGATTTAAAAAAAAAAAAAAAACTTGATCTTTCACTCATACACCCCACGCCAGCCCTTCTTCCATTAATAATGCCTAATCTGCTTCTGTTCATGCAACACCTTACATTCAACTGTAACTGACTGAACCCCCACATTGAAAGCTTACAACAATTTTCCTAAATATTATTGACAACTGTTTTCAAGATTTACTTCTGAATGTGGACTAGATATATTATTCCAACTGAAAGAATTTGTAGAAATTAGGAATCATGTGATGATACTGTTAGCCAAAGACATCGCAGCAGATACCTGTTGTTTATGTCTGCCTGGAAACCATCCTTCTGTCTTCGGGCAAAACGCTCCATGATTTTCTTTGGGAGAATTACCTCTCACCCCTCTCAATCCATCCATCTTGCAGCGATTGGTTTTCATCACCTTCTTACTACCCACATTTTTAAAAATGTGTTTTATATATATATATATATATACACACACACACACACACACACACACATGCTGGGGATTGAACACCCAAAGGGGATTACCACAGAAATATATAGTCACATGCTTTTTGGTTTGAGACAGGGTCTCATTAAATTGTGAGGGTCTTGCAAATTTCTTGAGGCTGGCCTCTAACTTGTGATCCGCCTGCCTTAACCTCTCAAGTCACTGGGCACCACCACACCTGGTTCCCACATATATTTTTAATTCCACTTCAATGCTTTTAAAAGTTTTCATTTAATTTATCGGCTATATAAGATTTTTAAAAATGCATATGAACAGATAATATTTTGTACTTGAAATACTACTAAAATACATAGAAAGTTAACTGAACAAATGGGTAACCATGAGAAGCCAATAATAGTACATTGTACTCCTCTGACCCAAGATGTAATGATTGGCTCCAGTGTCAGCACAGGACAAAGGCTGATCCAAGAAATTCATTCCTAGAACCTCCATTGGAACTACAAAACACATACTCACTTCCTACTGGTATTACTCACTTCCTACTGGTCATAAGTATAAGCTACTCTGTTATTAAGAGGCATCAGCTCATGGAGACAGCCTCTCAAGTGTGAAGCCAACAGAGGATAACAGAACCAAGAGATGGAGGAAGAGGGGCATCATTTGAATGCCCACCAGAAGGAAACTCTTTTGGACTTTTTTGGACTTTTCTTTCTTTCCACCCCTCACCCTACCTCTGGTACTGGGGATTAACTTAGGGTTGCTCTACCACTAAGCTACATCCCCAGATATTTTTTATTTTTTTATTTTGAGACAGGGTCTCACTAAGCTGCTAAGGCTGGCCTCAAACTTGCAATCCTCCCTCTTCAACCTCTGGAATCACTGATATTACAGGCAGGCAACACAGCACCCTGCAATCTTGGACTTCTTGATTTCTATGAGCTTACACACTTTTCTTGTTTCATAACCCAGGGAGAGTTGGGTTTCTATCATTTGAGACCTGACTAACAGGGACAATATCATCATCATTAGTACTACAGTTTATCAGTATATGGCAACAAAACTTTAAGCTCTTTTACTAATAAATTTAGCTAGCTTCTCCTCAAAGAACTGCCGTCATGTGATACCAAAGTCATAGCCTCATACAAGCATTATAGGACTAAAAGTATTGTGGAGACATTCATTTCTTCTAACAAAGTTTACATAAACTGAGAAGTAGCCACTTTGAACAAGAGGTTTAACTGGGCTCATTTAGCAGCTAGGGCTGGACTGGGAGAGTGAGTTGGCTGCTAGCAGGAGGCCAGGAACTTTTTAACTGCTATGACTGACAGATCATGATAACATACCTTCCTAATTTTTTTTGCCTCTGACTTGCTTAAAAGATCAAGTCAAATCTCATAAAACTATTCTGGTGAATTTATAATACAGATTTTTTTCTAAAATGGGGCAAATGGTCATTGTTCTCAGACCGAATAGAAAGGAGATTGGGAACATCAATTTATTTTTCATTCATTGTCTGGGAAAGACTACTAGGATAGAGCTAGAGATTATCATCTGTGCATGAAAGTTGTGAGATATATAGAATCTTTTTTGGAATTTTTTTTAGTTGTCAATGGACCTTTATTTTATTGATTTATATGCAGTGCTGAGAATCGAACCCAGTGCCTCACACATGCTCGGCAAGTGCTTTACCACTGAGCCACAACCCCAGCCCCTATATATAATCTTTGAGAAAGGTTTATCGGTAAGGAAGTCAGCAGAGAATTTACCCATTCTGGGTTGTTAAGCAAATCCACTCACCTCACTGGCCATTTCAGATGCTCGTTTGGCTCTCTGAATATCAAGAACTTCTGAATTAACGTCCATTCCTTTCCCCTTTATTTCATTTTCCAAATCCTTTTTATATTCTTTCTATAAGACAAGGATAGGACAGTAACTTACTGGAAATCACTTTAACCGAGATTCTATATTCTTTTCTAGAGATCCTAGACAGAAAATATTACCAGGGAGGAAGAAATCACACTGTTGAGCATCCTGCTATGCCCTTTCCACGTCATTTTTGTACTCTATCAAATTCAGAGTGGCTTCCAATATTATCCATCTTTGCCCTTTCATCCTTTCTCCCAACATGTTTTGGTACCACAGTGAATTTTTTAAAGATGTTTTTTCCTTTCAATGATGAGAAAGATCTTAGGAATATATGCTTCTTAACAATTATGTTAAATATTTTTTACAAATGTTTAGTAAATATGAATTACCCAAAGAACACAGTTGAAAAAGAACAAAACAAAATGATCAAATCAAAAGGGTTGCCGTAGCCAAAGTTTTTTTTTTTTTTAAGTTTCCACTTTATTCAATGATTGATAATCAAATAACATAGAGCCAAATAATTTCCTACATATTGATAATATACACTTTGAATTTCTCCTATTTTAATATCATATTTTAAGTAGATCCAAATGCCTCTCACAGATGTTTACACAAAACTTGTATTCTCTGCCAACAAATTGCTTGTTTTCTCAATTGTATTATGAAAACAATAAATATCCTTTTCCCACTACTCTAAGTTTCATTTACAACTAATTTGCTGGGTGAAAGATGAAATTACCTTCACTGATAAGAAATCAGGTTGCAGTTAGTTCTAAGGTTCATTTCATGTTATTTTCCCTTTGTCCTGTATAATTAAATTAGCTGTCCTCTGCTCAACCTACGGCCTGCTAGATATTATCACAACCTGCACGTGTTTCTGGAAAGAGCTCTGAGTGAAATGACCTGGATTTAAGTAAGAGCTCTTTCACTACTTTGGTGATGTTAACTTCAGGGGGACTTTAAGGAACTCAGCCTTAATTTCCATCTTGGCAAAATGAAAATAAAAGTAAATGCTTTACGGATGCCAACGGGCAATGAGGGGGGAATCACGTGGGGCATCCAGTGGTACTTCAGAGACCCTAAATAGCAGAGCAAATGTAAAAACCATAAAGCAAGGAGCGCAATGCCCATTTCCAGCTAAAGGCTTACAGTTAGAAAGGGAAGTTACAATTTCATTATATCACTAAGCAACTGTTTTTTAAGCTGGTCATCTCTATAATTTAATTAAAAGTTTTAAATCATAGTTGTTATGATGTTTATTTTCCTAAAAATAATCTAAATTTTCCTCCAAAAATTCATATGTTGAAGCCCTAACTTCCAGTGTGATGGCACCTGGAGGTGGGGCCTTCAGGGGTAATTATATTCAGATGAGGTTATAAGTGTGGGGACATTAGGATGGGATTAATGGCTCTAATAGTAAGAAAGACCAAAGTGCCTCTGTCCGCTTTTCTCTCTCAAAATGTCTTAATTGTATCATACTCACTAAAAGAAGGAAAAAGTAGCAAGAGAATTCTTACAGAAATTATATGTGTATTTCAGCACAATATAAATTATAACAATGAATCACACTAAATTTCTAAAACCAGTTCATGGTAAAGGCCAGTTGGCACTTGCTTACTAAAGAAGTTCATAATGATAAGCCTCTATACAGGTAATTATGATTTAGTGTATTTCACTGACCTAAGATATTTCTTTCAGTAATCATTTCTTTGGTTCAAAAATTTAGAATGAAATGGAATTTCATTTTCCATTTCCTAAATAAATAAATGTAATATATATATATATATATATATATATATATATATATATATACACATACACACACACATATATATTCCACTTATATATTATATAATAATTATTATATTACATGTATTCCATTATTATATATTCACTTAAACTTTCCTGTAATATAAAGAGAATCTATTTAAACAGAAATGAAAGAACTCTAAGTTATTTTTCAGCCATTAAAAAAAAAAAAGGCAAACATTTTAAGAGTTGCACTATGAGCACAATATTTTTGTTAAGATTTGAAAACTTACGTGTTCAACACATTTAAATATTAATTCTGAGCCAAAATATACCTTTAAGTTTGGGGAGAAATCCTACAGAGAATGAAATGAAAAACAGACCTGAGTTCCTCTATTCTATATGCTAACTTTACAATTTTTCCCTACATAGAAGATAAGAGACTTATAAATAATGCACCTTCTATCCACACTTTCACACGTCAGAACTCATTTTTGGTATCAAATATCATGAGAATGCTGCAGGGAAACTACAGGAAAAAAGGTGGTTCTAATACATGTTTTTATAATAATTCCATTTTAAAGAATCAAACTTGCCCACCTATATTCAAAAAATGTATGTATATTTTAAACTAACTACTATAAAGCTATAAAACTCACTACATACAGAGCTTCTAAGCTACAATTAAAACACAAAACTAGAATATTCTTCAAATCTTTTCAGGAAATCTAGGCACTTTCTTCCCTCAACTTTAAACAGATGTGTTAACTAATACTTTTCTCTTTTTAATGAAAATGTAAGACTTTCTTAATAAGGGTCAAAGTGTAGGACAGAGCAAAGTGCTAACATCTCAAACACTGGCTTAGCAGAAGACTGTTAGGTAAATATCTCCTGGGTTATTTCCTCCATTTTCTTTCATGACATTTAATAGAAAATAGAAAGATCATACCTCCCTCAGAAGGTTGGTGATGTACTTTACATGTAAAAATTCAGGAGTCTTGTCCAAATCTAATGAGGACCTTCCCTTAATCTCCTTCTCAAAATCCTCTCTGTAAACTTTCTGTTAAATAAAAACACATAATTTAAATGCAGGAAATATTAGTGACTGTTGAAAAGAACACGTGTTTCCAGAACAAAATTGATGTTTTGTGATATAATTCTACTATCTCAGAGATTTTGTCAACAGGAAAATAATTCCAGCTTTATTATAAACTTCACAATTCCCCCAAATATAAGTAGCACGATTAAAGACCATTGCGTTCCTAGGGCAAATCATCCTGAGTGAAGCTGTTCAACATCTTATTAATCCGTGATTAATACCACCCCCATTTTAGGGAAAGAACCAGTAAGATTGGCATTTTGATGGGATTCTCCTGAATTCACTCCAAAGGGAATGGGGAGCCTCCTTTGGAAGAGAATCTGGTGGCATGGAAGGCCATTCAAACCAAAATAACATCAATAGTCATGGCTCCTGCACCCTTATCTCTGTCAGTCTTTTGTGAATTCAGGAAAGAATATTCCAAAAATTAATGAAGGAGGCTTGGGGAAGGGAGTATTTTTGTTCAATGGTTTGGGCATTGAAAATATTTATATACCATTTATGGAATTTGATATGGATCGAGTTACAATGTGAGGACAACCTCACCCTGAATCCTTTAGGTAAGAGTTCACAACAAGAAATGGAAGGGGGATGCTGACCATGGATCATGGAGGGCCCAGACCCATAGCACCTGCCCCGTTGGACTGCTCCTGAACCCACTAGGTATGAGTCTCTAAATTCTAGCATTTGAGCTATGCATTTGAAAATCCCATAACTCAAGTTTTATGACTAGAAAGACTGCCTTAATCATCAAAATATCCAACCATGTGAAATATTTACTAAACAAGGGCCAGATTTTACCAGCCAAATGTTATATTCAAATGGCATCATAAAGCTGACAAGAACAAATGAATTCTGCATGAGATTGTTATTCATGCTAAATGAGCAGCTATTTCCAGGTTCATTATATATTTATTACAGAGAAAAGTAATTATATACATAAAGAAACTCTCCAAACCATCAGGGAGGATGAGAGAAGCATGCTGCCCTCTCACTTAGAATTTCTGCTCCATACAGTCACGCCATGAACACTGTGTCTGCAGTCATAAGGAAAGGCAATGACGGATATTCTATGAATCTGATTAAGAAGATGCATTGGGAGCATTCTGAATTAAGAACTAGAGAGACACCAAAGAGCAATAATGAGAAAGTGTCCTTTTTTTTAAATGTGGAACGAATTGAGATAATGTGAATCTAGGGCATTTCCAGGCTGAAAGGACTCTACAAAGTGAAATATAAATATGTATGCGTATTTATTTATTTATATTAGATATTTCACTTCAAAGAGCACTTTTCTTCTGAATAAAAAAAAATCTCTTTGCTAAAGTAAGTCATTAAGAAAAGTTGATTATGCCTGAGACTGGCCAATTTTTACCCTGAAATAAGACAAAAACCTTCAGTATGCTTTCTTCCAGGAGTTATATTTGTGAAAGAGAAGACAGAACTTTCAAGGATGGATTTACAGATTTCTTGTGAAAACACACAGATTAAACTATATCTGGTATTAGGAGAAATCAAGGTAAGTATGATAAAAGATCACAGCAAAAACACTGATGGTTTTTCCTGAAATCATATGCACATAGCTTTACCCATAAGGGGCTCCTCAGAAGAGGAGTCTATCTCTGAAGAATAGAAACCATCTCTAAGACAGGTGGCTGTATTCATGTCCTTCTATATTTAAAGTCATTTTCACATCAAACTTTGTCTAAGATAATATTAGATATTTTATTTTTCTAGCTTTCAGAGTATAAATTTGGCCCAAAGATATTTTCTATTGGAAAATTTTGCTCCCATGAAGCCCTGTGGAGCAGAGGCATAATTAAGGAGCCTGAAAAATTCTAATGGTCAATGGCTATAATTAAAGGGAAAATACGTCTCACTGAGCAGGAGGGAAAGAATAAATTGTGTGAAGCATAAGAGAAGCCAAAATCCCCAACCATAAATTACTGTCATTCCTAATTCAGAAACATGGCACCAGAATGGATCAACCAGGAATCGGAAGGTCCTGAATTTGTTAACCAGGTAGAGGACAAGAAGGAGGAGGAGGAGGTGGGAGAGGAAGAGGAAGAAGGATTATTAAGAAACCACAACATCAGAATGATAAGAGGGTCCTGGACATGAATGTTTCTGTGGCTGAAGATCAAAGAGAGGGAGAGGGGAAGGGAGGTGGAGAGCAGAGTAGGAGGAGAGGTGGAAAACAAGGGTGATGTTAACCTCCTGCTGTTATTTTCAGAAAAGTTACATAATTTTTTGATACTCATGTCTTCCAGTGAAAATGCATTTAACCATTTCATGTGGTCATAAGGTTCTAGAGAATGCACTGAGATTTCCATGACAACTTTGCAAAGTGGAAACCTTTCTCTGGGTTGTGGGCTAGTAACAAAGGAATATGATTTCTATAAACTGGGGAAAATCCTTGAAAAGCTATTTCTAGCCCACATAAAAGGTACGACTGTAGTGGAAGACAATACAGTCATGTAAAATTCTTTATACATTGTCTAAATGGAGAAAAGTGATTCTGATATATATGTGTGTGTGTATGTGTGTGTGTATAGATATATTAATATAGATAGATATAGATAGATATATCCCTACATATCTATATACACACATATATACATATATGTATATATATATATATATGTATATATCTATATATAGTATTTTATAAATATACATACACACATATATATATGTATATATACAAACATATATATGTGTGTGTATATATATATATATATATATATATATATATATGCATATGTTTATATACTTTTTTTTAATGGTGGTACTAAAGATTGAACCCAGGACCACACCCTCATGCTTTTTATTTTATTTTGAGTCAAAGTCTCATTACATTTCTGAGACTGGTCTCAGATCTACAATCCTCCTGCCTTGGCCTCCCAAGTAGCTGGAATTACAAGTATGTGCCACCACACCCAGCTGATTCCAGCATAACCTGTCTCATTAATGTTAAGTTTTCATACAGTTTCTGAACTTTGACCAAATTTACCAGTTCTGTTAGTTCAGCTCATTTGGTCAAAAACAGTTAGCTGACATTTCTTAATTAAGGTCACACTTACTGACTTAAGAAAATATGAGCCATGAAAAATATGAATCATTTTTTCTCCTCTTTTGCTTAAAGAAGAAATCAGGCCACTTTAACGATTCAGAAAGTCACAGTGATGCCTGAGTATCTTCAGGAAGATGAATCATAACATCTCATGACAAATAGCAATGTTTACGAAACTCCTAGGAGAGGTTTTTGTCCAGACATTATTGATTCTCCATTTTGATGTTGTTATCAGAGAAAAGATCTGCCCACTGAGCACGCCTAATATGTAACCCTGAGTTGTAATTAGCTGGCACCACTACCCATTATTTCTATCTCTTTGAGGTAATAATTCAATTGTACCATAGAATATGGATGTCAGCTATAGACAAAGCATTGAGTGTCTGATCCCCCAAAAAGTAATGGGAGAAAAAAGGCAGTTTCACTAGGTCAGAGCAAAACCAGTTTGAAGAATATCTGGATGTGACTTACCAGGTAATGACCTTAGACCAGGAACAGACTAAGTAGAAAACGAACTCAATGTTTACTGGGAAAATAAAAAATCAATTTAAAAAGCTTGCAGAATAAAAAGGAATCATATTTATTTTGACCAGGTCCTAAAACGTCAGCATTTATTGGATATGTAATTTTACTTAAAATGATTAATTTTGGTGGATATTTAATAAAACTAGAGAGAACACCATCCTCTTGTCATTATTTTGAGGATTAGAGGAGCTGACACATAAGAGTCTTTTCACACTTCTAGCACAGAATAAATGCGGTTCTATTGTCATGGTGAACAAATAAGTACAGCCATTAGCTCTTTAATTTCTTTTTAGTTAGGTGCTCTTCATAAATTTATATTGATAAATCTGAAAGTGTTGGCTATATAATCATAGAATTTAAGAGCTGAGAAGGACTTTAGGAGCTCATCTTGCCTGAAAAAACATATTCAACAAATGGTAAGACCAAGGGCCAAACTCAAAGACCCAGACAGCACTCCTGTGAGTAGAGACACTAGGTCTAGAAAGTAGATGCATTAAATAATTGATAACAAACCAGTGACCCACCTCACTTTGCATCTTTTGAGCTTCTTTGGAAGCTTGGTAAGATGGTGTCTCAACAAATTCAAGCATTGACTTTCCCTTATTTTTCTCATATTCTTCTTTGTATTTAACCTTTATTGAAAGAAATGTAAAAAGTATATTAACATCAGAGTTGGGAGTAGAGTTCAATGGTAGAGCACATGCTTAACATGCCCACAGCCCTGAGTTACAACACCAATACCACCCCCCCACACACATACACACACACAATGACCTTATATAGGCAAAATAAAATAAGTGTCCAAAATTCGTCATCCTGTCTTTCAAAATCAAATTATTCTTGCTATTTAGGGGAATCGCTAGTGTTAGTGACATGTAAAAAAAAAATAAATGGGTAATACATAAAACTTTTATTCAGAAATGCATTTTCATTAAAATTCTTATGAATTTTTTCTTAAATTGTATAATTATGATGTTATGACAATTCAACCCAAAAGAAATCATTCAATACTTAGAGCTTTCCGACAACAGAAAGAAAACAAATTTTAACATGCCTACTTCTGTCCATGTTTTTGTCACAGAGAATGGCAGAATGATCAACAAAAGTGTGGAAAGTGTGATAGCATGTGACATAAGGATGAAGTTTTGTGGTAAAAAATTAAATAATAAGAAGAATTTAAAGAGAAAAAATGTGCATTTCTAAACATTGAGGCATAAGATCCTTATAAACTTTGTGTTTCATAAAACTTTATCTTAACAAATACTGGAAATGGCATATTTAACAAATATGCAAGCTTAATTTAAAAAAAAGTAGACACTGACTTTAAAGTATACTAGGAAGAAGATATTTTTAAAAAGTTTTTTTCAGAGGGTACATAGGATTTCAGAGCTGGAAGAAACACTAATTTAGAACACACAATTTTGCCTTCTCAATAACACTCACAAATGAACTGAAAAATTATAATAAACCTGGCACCTGGAAAATGAGTTTTGCAGCTAAAATAACAAATCAGTACATTATAAAAAATTCAAATCATTTAAGACTATAGTTATATTAATTCTTATATTTGAAGTTTTTAAATTATGTGAAGTAACTGCTATTTTTTGAAATGGTTTTATATCAAAATATGGTACCAGCTCTCATCCTAATAAATTGAAAATAGTAACTGAGATTCCCACCACCACCCCCCAGCAACATTTATGTTCTCAAGATCTCTTTTTTTTTAGCAATTGAATATTCTCAGTTGAGGGACTTAGCCATAAGTGTCCAAATGGTCCTGTGGTCCCAGCAGCGAGGGGGGGTACCCAACAAGTACCCACCTGACTCTGAAGGGTGGCATTGCCTTGGTGATGCAGGTGATCGGCAGCATCTGCATCAAAATGATACAGTCCTCTGTTTTCCTCAAAAAGCTTTTTATATTCTCGCTAAAACATAGAACATGAAAATAAGTTTAGGATAAAAGAGAGTGACCAGAGCAATTAATACTTAGGAATGCAAACAAATATACAAGCCAAGAGCCACCAAAAGCTGCAACGCTGTTATCAAGTCTTCATCTGTAGCCAACTGGCACAGAGGAGGTGTCTGACACTGAGGTAAACAGAGACTGGGAGACAGACCAGCTCCAGGTGGTCAGCGTGGACAGCACAGGAAACACTCTGAGGACAGTTAACTATCAACAACAACCAAAAGGATATTCACAACACAAGAGCAGAGACATCAAAGCTAGTAAGGGGACCCATGTGGATCAGCAAGATGGACGAAACCCAGGCAAAGTGCCTTGCCCTAATGGGACGGGAACATGTTTAATAGTGCTCACAAGAAGAGAAGCAAAGAGAGTAAGAAGGGAACAGAAGGAAGGAAAGACAGAGGCTTGAAAGAAAAATATTGTCTACAAAGACTCAGCCATGAAGAAGATTGGAGGTCATCAGGAAAATGAGAGGGTGGAAAGTAATTCAACTAATTTCCCCAATTCTAAGGAAAGGGTAGAGATACCCGTAAAAGAAACAGAAATCTGAGCATGGTGGTTGAATTTTTAAGGTGAAGAAATTGGATGAGCCTACTATTTAGACATATAGACGAAATGGTAAATTTGGAAGAAAACAGAGTGGACAAGGATGCCCAATTTGGCTGCTGCAGGACTCTAAATACCATAGGCAGTAGTGAGACAGAAATCGCTTCATGATTTTCTATCATTGGACTTTGAACACTTGGTTATGTCAACCTATTTAGAAAAGATTATAAGCAATAGCCCTCAGAGACTCAAAGCTACAGAGACATGGCTGCTCATTAGGAAACAGATTTCAGTCAAAATGGCAATGGGAAAGAGGAATTGGGAAAGAGCCAGTCATAGAGAAGCTTACACTGGGTCTTAGGAAATTCTCTAAGGATGGGAAGGCGAAAGGGAAGAAAGTCCAGTACCAGGGATGGAAGGATGGAAGGCCCAAGTGACCGGCCACAGGACAGCTGCTGCTCCATGTGGGACATAAGCAATGATCCCCAGAGGGAGCCCGGCCTCAAGAGCTTCCTGTCAATTAGGAAGCAAAGATATGTGTCTCCCAAAATTCTAACCATAAAATAAAGGAGAAAAGTATGAAAGGAAGGTCATGATAATATTCACAAAGTACATCTCCATTGAAGAGAACAACTTCTAAATTTTGGCTCCCCACAAATAAAAAGAAAAAATTCAAAAACATTGAAAAAATAATAATATACTTAGAAACATCATAATTTTATTAGGATTTATTTTACTAAAAAAGAAGTATTGTATAATACCTATTTGTAAAATAATCAATCGTGCCTTGAATGTAAAAAGCTAGAACTCATTCCATTATGGAGTTAAAAATCCAGAACTCAGAAAGTCTATTGTACTTGGAATAATGGATAATACTAAAAATGGTTCAATAAATATTGTTCCCAGCATGATTATCTATTTTGCTTACAAAGGATTTCAGAAACTCTTTTTTTTAAGAGAGAGAGAAAGAATTTTTTAATATTTATTTTTCAGTTTTCGGTGGACACAACATCTTTGTCTGTAGGTGGTGCTGAGGATCGAACCCGGGCCGCACGCATGCCAGGCGAGCACACTACCACTTGAGCCACATCCCCAGCCCCTAGGATTTCAGAAACTCTTACAAAAGAAAAATAAAACCTATTTAATTAAGAGCTGCAAAAGGTATTTCCAAGACATGGTCTTGTACTTCGGTATATAATAGTCTCTGTTGCCCCCTAGTGGAAGTTATAGAGAATAACACAATTATATGCACATATTGTGCATATAGAGAGATATATTAAATCTACCTATATATACATATATCTATCTATATATACACACAACTTACCGAAAAATTATAAAAGATACTTAAAACTACGAGTGCTTCAGTTTCCAGAGAAAAAAAAAATTCTCAATTTAACATGGCTGTAAGGTGCTTATTTCATCCACCATGTGGGATGTTAAAAAGAATTCCCCAAACATTACATCATGTATAACCAGAAGAATGAGAAATTATACTCCATTATATATTATGTGGCAAAGTATATTATACTGTCATGTATAACTAATTAAAACAAATTTTTAAAATTTTAAAAAGAATTCCCTAACAGCCATGTATAACTGACAAAATTTGTAGAATAATGTTAATGAATAATCTTTTTCAATCTTTTAATAAAGTTAAGCCACCTTTATCAATCAATAAAATTTTAATTCTCTTTATATTAAAGTTTAAAATAAGGTTTTATAATATACAACTTTGAGCCAATGTGTTATTATAAAACATTGTAAGCCATTATTTCAGAGTAATACATTTTTAAGTTAAACTTCCTTCCCCACGAAGTAACCATTCAGCCAGTTTTTCTGTGGAGGTGGGGGATAATCTATGATCTAGGCAAAGGCAACACCTGAATGAAGATTTAAATTTTATAAATGATGTCTAAAATAACACATAACTCTGCTGGTTTTCTCTCTGGAAAAGATGAGAGAAACAACTTATAATCACCTGGGGTTTTTTCACAGTTATAAAATAATGGTCAACAATCTTTTTTTAAAATGGGTGATGTCATTTTTATTCTGTAATATAAAAATGGGCAGACCTTCCATTAACAGTCAACTTTCTTGAAAAATGAATGCATGAGTAGCATGCATTCATCTAGTTGCCAAAATTTTAAATGATCACCACATTTTATTGGCTTATTTACATATAAATCCCCACGTCCCTGGCAAATTCTACCTGAGTATGAATGGAGAACAGTCAAGGTCAAAGACCCCTGTGATGATCAAAACTGGAAGCCAAGGGGCTGGGGTTGTAGCTCAGCGGTAGAGCGCTCCCCTAGCACATGCAAGGCGCTGGGTTCAACCCTCAGCATCACATAAAAATAATAAATAAAATAAAGGTATTGTGTCCAACTACACCTTAAAAAAAATTTTAAAAATTGAAGGCCAAAGACTATAAAGAAAGCAGAGGGCTCAGAGCATAGAAACCCATCAATTTTAGAAACATGCCCATGAGTTGAGAAGAAATACATGAAATGAAACAGAGACACCCAAGGAATAGAGGAAGGTGTACAGAGGTGCAGGAATGAGCTCTCACATGCAGGATGATAGGATTTCAGTGTCTCTGAACCTGACAATATTCTTCGAATCTCCCTTTCTTGCTCACAGAAAGAAAGAGAAGAATCATATTGCTTTTCGCCCAAGGACCAGTGATTTAAAGGAAAGACAAAAAAGAAAAGAAAAGTTAACTTAAAATAAATCTTGTGAGTATGAATTATTTACATGCATTATCCACTTTCAGAAAGATGACCGTGATGTTGACTTCTGAGAAAGGAGACATACAAAATAAAGAACAGAAGTTTCAATCTATCAAAGCCAAACACTTGTAAAGTTTAACTGAAGCTGAATCTTATGATATATGTTTAGGAACCAAGTTTTGGCTACAGAGTTTTAAGTCAATGGCTATGGACACATCTACTGCAACAACTATCCACTTCTTCTCATGTATTGCCCAACAAATATTTTTTTTTATCTGATCTGTGCCTATTTAATACATTAGGACAATTTTGAGTGAGTATTAAAATAGGCATGAAGTAATTTGAGGTCAGATTAGAGTTCATCATTATCATGGGGCACCCTGAATTATATGAGCTTCCATTATCCCCTGGGTAATTTGGTGGGGGAAGGAGGTGTTTGAACTCAGGGGAGCTTAACCACTGAGTCACATCCCCAGTCAATTTTTATTTTTTATTTTAAGAAACTAAGTTGCTTAGGGCCTCACTAAGTTGCTGAGGCTGGCTTTGAACTCAAGATCCTCCTGCACCAGCCTCCGGAGCTCTTGGGATTACAGGCATGTGCCACCGTGCCCAGCTCAGAGTGATCTTTTTTGAGAACCAAAGAAGTCGACATAGCATCCAGGAGGGTGAGTCTCCAGGGATCCAAAACACTCACCCCTGCCAGCTTAGTTGCCTTGACAGAATATGGAAATCACAAGACTTATAGTATAGTGACAATGAAATATAAACACCTTTATGATTTATTTTCAGAGATTATACAATTTAGATGAAAACAACATTTTATGTTATTGAAAGCATACTGCAGACACTCTGGACTAGCCTGCACCAGAGAAAAGACCCCTGACTGGAGGAGAACCTGAATTTCAAGTGGCTTCAGTGTGAACAAGGATGAAGTAAGAGGAAGAAGGAGTCAGGAAAAATGCTTGCACAAACACTTTGAAGAGTAGCTGATTTAAGAGAAACTAAAGAACTAGCAAGAAACCTCTTTGTATATCAACAGCTTTGGTGGGATTGATGCAAGTAGACTACTACTTTTCAGTGAGCCAGTATTGGGGGTGAAATGACACACAGGCATGTCTAGGAAGCTGGTGAGTTCAGGAGCACAGCAGGTGAGCTATAGGACCCACTTACTCCGCTGAGCATTTTGCTGGCTTTCAAAGCGTGGTCTAAAAACAACAAATTTGGGAGATCTGAAACCGGATCGTGCATATTTTGCAAGTCTTTCTTGTACTTCACCTATGAAAATAACATAGAACAAAATACCCATCTAGGAGAAGAGAATAGGCTTTTGCATTTATTGCCAATTACTATTGTTAACACATCATAAAAGTAGTAGTGGTTAACAGACGAATTTATAGGTGGCCACTAGATGGCGCTAATTCACTACTGAATGAGTAAAAAGTTTTATTAAAATGATGTTACAAGAATCAAGTAATTATAACAGAAACTCTGTTTTCAAGAATTGAAGACACTAGCCACTTTGTTCTTTAGACACTGTGCCAGTATTTCAATTTTGCTCCATGATAACTTTAGGCTACTGGTGTTTTTCATTCTTTTGCCACACAGACATGTTTTGGGTTTTGTTTTTGTTTTATTTTGGTTTTTGTTGTTGTTACTTTGCCAACTGTTTTGGAAATATCATACTAGAAAACAAAAATAATAAACTGCTAATAAAACAAGCATTAAAATTACTCACTAGGGCTGGAGTTGTGGCTCAGGGGTAGAGCGCTTGCCTAGCATATGTGAGGCACTGGGTTTGATCCTCAGCACCCCATAAAAAAATAAATAAAGTTATCATGTTCATCTACAACTTAAAAAAAAAGTACTTACTATCTTCCAGACACTTCTCTAAATACTTTATATATGTGAACTATTTAACCTCTACGACTCCCTAGTAGGTGGATACTTTATTCCCATTTAAAGAGGAGAAAACGATGAAGACACAGAATGATGAAGGGATAATATGTGGGAGGAACAGGATTTAAATCCACCTATCTGATTCTAAGCCTGGATTTTTCAGCACTTGGATCCAGGTTCCTTTAAGTATATTTCATCTCTATTTCCCTGGTTTGTACACACATTTAAAAAATAAAATAGGAAAAAAAAATCATCTGACATTCCCAGTGGTCCTAAAAGACAAAACAACCACCACAAAAAAAAAAAAAGTTTTGACTGCTAGAGATGAACAAAAGTTGTTTAGTGAACACAAATAACAACACCTTCTAAACCTCATTGGAAGTAAGATTAACCAAGCCCCAAGGAGATGATAGGAATTGAAAGGTTTTATGATCTAACAAAGCAACAATCTGATAATATTTCATTTTCATACTTGAAAATGTGCTCTACACATTTCAACCATAGCAAACTCATCAATGTTTTCAATGTTTGTTTTATATTCTGCCTGTTTCTCATACATTTTATAAAATGAATCCTGATTATTTTTTAAAACATGAAATGCAAATAAATTTTATGAAGAAGTATTTCATAGCTCTTACATAAGCTATGTGAAATTATAAGCATTATCAGTCTAATTGTTTTAAATTTCTTTACAATAAATGTCCATGTACCTGGAAGTACTTTATAATAAACCCAATGATATGGACATAATTATACGAGTTAATTACCATCCTATCTACTAATTTGTGATAATACACACTTCTTTTCTACAAAATTCTGTAATCTATTTCTAAATTAGATATGATAATTTTATTCACAATACTATTCTTGCTTATTAACTAATTAGTAATCAGTAACCATTAATAGTAAAAATTATAACTATATTTTTCTCAAAAAAAAGGGTTCAGGAAAATATGCTTCAGTGTTTTCAAGTACAGACTACTTGGAAATTACATGATCCTGATTAAGAACCAGTAATTAAAACACAGTCAGTTCTAAGAAAACAAGAATCAAAAGATATTGAAAATAATTTTCTAAGAATTACAACATACATCACTTGCAAGTATAGCAGCAAGCTGATTTTGCTTAAAAGAAGCACTTTCAAGAGGGTTGTAATGATGTTTCTTATCCTTCATTTCATTGTCAAATTTTTCTTTATATTTAACCTGTCACAAAAGAAAAAATGGGATAAATTAGGACATTTGTGTTGAATAACAACACACTTGATTTTAAAAAGATCAAATAAAACTACCTTAACAGCGAACAGTAGCAAAATTTAAGTTCCTGGTATTCATGACCTCCATAAAAGCTTAATGAGGCATAAATTTTTTTTAAATGCAGTACTTGAACATTGATCATAAACACAATTAGGCATTAACTCAAATTCTTCCTATTAATGAAAATTATGCCTTGAAATATCAAAAATTTTAAATGTCAGCTTCCATTTCTACATTCCTATAATCTATGATCAATCAGAAATCAGGACAAAAATCTTAAGATCCAGCATATTTAGAAAATGGGTCCTTGGCTCAGAATCTGAATATGAATTTTTCTAAGGGAATTGTTCCAAATAAAGGGCATGGTTTACACTATGGTTTTCTCTTGGTTTCCCATAGTTCATTTGTTCAAAAATTCATCTTTAAGAAATATATTTTCTGAAATGTCCTGGGCCTATTGAATGTTATTTTAAAATTTCTCTGCTTTAACAACACAATCTATTCATCCAGAAACCCATCTCTAAAATTCACCATGTTATTTTTGCTCTTTGTTAAATACTCACAGGACAACAACAACAACAAAAGAATTCAACTTATCTTGTAGGACTCCATCTTTCTCATGGGTAAAGAAATCTGTTAGCGAATGTAATAATAACTAATTGGAATATATATAGGAGTTCTCTACCAAAATAAATAAATAAACCTAGTTACTCACATCTCGCACGCCCTTGATTCATGAAGACAGAAAAGGATGTACAGATCTCAAAAGCAAACTGTTTTGTTCTCTCGCACTATTTTTACAATATTTACAATATTACAGTATTCTGCTCTCTTATGATATTCTTGTAATGCATGTTTATTCATACATTTTGAGACTCTGCCTTGCACAAGTCTTTATTACACAGCAGTTTGGGAATGGCTCATATCATGTGTTTTAATCAAGCCTATAACAGAGTGAGGGTCTCCTTCGCAGACCGGTGTCTGATACCTATGAGAATAGGCTAGTGAAAAATCTTCTTAGGAATACAATACAACATTTTCTCAAAAGTTTACAGGAAAGATTTTTCTCCATGGTCGATTATATAATAGCAACTTTCTGATATTCACATTGCCTAATACATTTATCCTGAATAACTGATGAGGCCTCTCTAAAATAAGAAAAGTTCTGAATTATTTAAAAATTATTATTTTACATCTTGAAATCAGGGACCATAGCACAAATAGGGGAAAAAATAAATTTCTTTCACTACTTTACAGAGTAGCTGGCACAAAATCAAAGGTTTTCCCAGCCTGGTCCTAACACACAATGCCACCCCCCTGCTATGATGCGTTTCACTATATTTTAATGACTGATTTTGTCTCTCCTAAGTTTTTGGTGCTTAAAGGGAATTCACCCAATGATTCTGGAAGATTCTATAACTGGTTTCCACTTTCATGATGCCTCTGATCAGGCCACACTCACCAACACACTACCCTTTCTGAGCCAAACATTCTCCCTGCCAGTCAGGGTACAATGAAAACTCTGGTTGACACCATTCACATCTTGTCAGCAGATCTAGCTGCACAATGTGGACTTGCATCAAGTTTCCTTTCAGTTTCTCCAGCCTCGGGCACCGTGAGTGTCTTAGTTATGCTTTAGCCAAACAACAACAGTAAGTTCTATGATCTTGGCTCCTGGAGACCATGGTACTGTTTCTGTGTACCCAGGAATTCCCAGCACAGTTACAGGAGGAGCAGAGGCAATGTGTGGGGCGGTGTTACTTGGAAATGAAAATGACAGCTCCTTATCAGTTATTAAACCTGGCATTTGCTCTTCCAAGAAAATGCATATTTCTGAAAAATAATAATCACTGTCATTCATATCCTTATATGGAATGCAATAATAAGCAAAGTACCGTAAAACTGATCTCATTCTCACCCTTCTAACTCAGGGCTCTGCATGATTTGATTCAAAACACGCCCAAGGAACAAAAATATGAGAGTTTCCCTCATTAATTAATTAGCCATAAAATAAAAATTTCTGCATCATGTGAAAACACAAACCAGACATTGACACACAACTCTTGTTTGCCTCACTGTGTAAGGTTCACACGTACATGAACCAAGAAAATGACCCATGGTTTGAGTAGGTGGCATCTCCCCACTTTTGACCGGTTCACTAGGGAGCTACACAGACTCGCTCAATTAGTAAAATCGATTAATCAAAAAATTACCCTATTTTCCATCTTACAGTTCATACACCTGAGTGTCCACTGCTTAAGTCACACTCACATCTCCTAAGAGATCTCAGCAATGCTCTGTCTTAACTGTATCTGGTTCCTAACGGGAACAAACAGTATCCCCTTGGATTATAAGACCACTTGAGAAAGGGAGAAATAAGTGTTGTTTGAAGATGCAAAAATACTCCTTAAGCCTAGGTGTATTATTTGAAATGAAGCTTACTGCATATAATCCACATTATTTATATTCTGAATATCATACATAATGGTCCTGATATCACTTGTTTAAAAATACAGGATAGGAATAAAGGATCAAACTTCTAAAAGTTTCCTAAAGAATTTTAACAGATTTTTCAGAGGCCCATACTTGGAGAAAACACAGAAACTCCTAGACAACAATGATGTAATTTAAACTGCCTCTGGACAGAGCAGTGTCCTGACAGTGCAAAGCCAAACACCTAGACCCACTGGTTAAACTGTCACGAGGGCTGAGGGCTTCCCCTTGACATCATCTGTAGCTCAGTCTCACCAATAGCCAGCAAGGCAGGGAAATTTAGACCACAAATGAGAACTTTTCATGGTAGTCATATACACAGATGTTAGGAAAGAAACAGATAATTTAATAAATTCATTCTAATGATCATTAAAAATGAAAACTAAGCAAATAACACACCATCATATAGCTATTGGCATCAACTTCCTCTGATTTGGGATGAAATAATAAGTGGTGAATGAAAAACAATCGATTTTTATGTAGAACCATTATTAAAATCAATCATATTCTTAAAGTCTAAATTTTATACAAATTGCTAACTCTGCCCTTACCTTCTTTACAAAATAACAATCTTACTGACTCTGCATCAAATGTGAAAAAATCCAGAGAAAATGTGTCCGATCAGTCTCTACATATTTATTGACAATCAATCTGTGCTATTCTCTAATGGCAGATCAAAGACACAGAAGCCCTGCCATGTGGTTCTAAAAAAGTAGATATTTAAAACATGCATGCATGCACATCGATGCCTACTACTGATTGTGGCAAGAACTACAAGGAAACAGAATAAAGGGGAGGAGAAGGATACCAATTATATCTGCAAATCAGGAATGTGACATTTAAGCTGATACTTGGGTGTAAGGAGGTTGGCAGAGGATTTGTTTGCCAGGAAGGGAGAATGGGAGATTCTCCAAACCAATCAATACCCTTTGCCATTTAAGGACGATATTTATTACTAAATTTTTAAAGCAATCCATAATGGAATTTTTAGGTTTAAAACCCATTCTTATCTTTCTAACAAAAGCGATTTTAGAGCAAATACTAATAATTCTAAATACACAAATTTTCCTTGATGTTATGAACTAAACAATTCATTCATCATGTAGTCAAATTTAAAGTAATAAGATAACCCAGGAATACATTAACAAATTATACTCTTAGAATTTTTTAAGCTGATGATGTCAATAGTTATTTATATTTGAGATACATAGAAACCAACCTTTTTCTTGGCACTGAGGTTTTTGGGGGTTTTTTGTTTGTTTGTTTTAGTTGGTTTTATTTCTATGGCCTGGTCATAATTTTATGTATCTTCCAATTTAAAAAGGAAACATTTTCAACTATGAGAGCAAATCTATTGTACAAGTTAACATAAGGAGGGTCAGGCATGTGTTCCCATTACTTTTCTTGAGTAAAATTGCACAGAGCTCAGTTTCCAGGTAAGACGTGAGCCTCTGCCCACTTGCTCTCTACCTTCCTCTTTTCATGGAGCTGTCTTTTCCCTCCATTCCAGGGCCACCTCCTTGTCATTGCATTCTTTCCTCGAGGTCTTCCAGTGCTGACATGCTCTTTTCTCCCTGCACCTTGCCTCTCCTTAAACACTTTTCCCTGCTTAACAAATTCCCGCCTCATTTCCCTTCTATGTATTTGTGTGGTGTTATTATTAGCTTAGGAGCAAGAGAGCACATGATCTTCAAAGTTGTCCACGAAAATAAGAAATGACACTTTGGGCCTTTATTTCTTTTTGAAACACCTGAGAAGACAAATGAAACCTATGAGTTCATTCCAGGAGTCTTGCTCAGCTTTCCTCTTTTCTCAAGAGTTTATTCATCATATGATCAGTAAGAATGTCGCAAAAAAAGTAAAGATGATGGATAAAATGTCATTTTCCAATTACATTGTGCTTGAGCAGTAGATCACTTGATTGCTGAACACCAAATTTTTTGTCTAAGGATTCTCCAACAGAATTGGGATAGGATGAATTTAAGACTGGAATCTGAGAGTCAGGTTCCTATTTCTGCTCCATTCTGTGTATGAATTCATCTAAAAAACTAGAAGAGAAAACACTCTGTGTATCTATAGTAAAGAGACTCCTAAGAAGTTGTGTAATCTACCATGGGCCAGACACTGTTTTTGTTTTGTTTTGTCTTGTTTAGGGGGTGGTACTGGGGATTGAACTCAGGGCACTCAACCACTGAGCCATATCCCCAGCCTTATTTGTATTTTATTTAGAGACAGGGTCTCACTGAGCTGCTTAGCGCCTCCCCATTGCTAAGGCTGGCTTTGAATTCGCAATCCTCCTGCCTCAGCCTCCCAAGCCGCTGGGATTACAGGCATGTGCCACTGCACCCAGCCAGGCATGGTTTTTAAGTATTCTTACAAGTAATTCATCTCACTCTCAAGACAATCCTAAGAAGAAGATATTGTCACGCCTGTTTTACAGATGAGGAAACTGAAGATAGAGAAATTAAGCAATTTGTGACAAGCTATCAACAGAACTAGAGTTTGACCACGTGATCCTGTTCTAGAGCCCAATTTCTTAACCACTAAACTACAACCTGCTGCATGATTGAAGGGAAATCTTCATCCCTAGGAGAGGGTGGAGCTACGAGAAGTCAGGGAGCTCTGCAGGAAACTAAAATAAAGCCAATATCTCCTGTCTGCTCACCAAGCTTTATCTGGGATTCAGGAGCATTGAGTCACAGCCCTTCTTGACCTTTGAGTGAGTGTCATCTAGCGCATCCCAGCCTCTTGAGCATGAGCAGCATCCTGAGTACAAACAAAGTTGATCTGTAGGTGAAAGTACCTTGTACATTATAAAACAACCGACGCACGGCTCAGTTACATTCAGGCATCTTTTACCCTGGCCTCTCGGGGGTAAGCCTGATTTTCACCCGCACAGCCATGGAGACCTTTCAGGGACCCATCACTTCATGTGTGATTATCACAGCCGAGGCCAACTGGCCTCTTGGACCTTCCACCTCTCATAAGGCCAGACTTGCCTGCACAGTGTGGCCACATTAACCTTGAGCAATACTGTCTGCACAATCCTTCCTTGTTAAAATGTTCAGGGATTACTTATTTGTTAGCTGAAAGTGGAAGCAATTTGAGATACTAGATTAATAGGTGATAAGTTGGTCATCTTGGTATTTAACTCTAAAATGTTCCCTAAGGTTATACTTGGAAATCACTTTCTCTTTTTTTACCATTTCTTTCATAGAACATGTTATTTGGGGAAAGGTGGGGTGGGGACTAATGTTAATAGGCACAGAGTTTCACTTTTCAGAATGAAAAAAGTCCCCAAGGTGGATGATGGTGATGGTGTTTAACACCACTGAACAGCACACAGCCGATGGCTAAGATGGGAACTTTTCTGATTATTAAAAAAAAAAAAAAAGTTGGAAAAATTAATACATGCAAGAAAGAACACATTATACCTGCTCTGCTAAGTAATAGGTTAGTCAAAATCAGCAGGACACTGACACATTTCTCACCAAATCTCCCCCCAGATTCCTGATTATATTCATGACTCCTAGGGCTTTGCTCAGAGCCTCTGCTATCAGACTTCTGTCCTCTGTCGCCTTCATTGCCAACCTTTATTTGGAGCTTTCCTGGGGAGCTTTCTCTTCCTCTCTGTCAAAGCCAGCTCAATACTGCCTCCCACACAGTCTGACCTGGTGTCCTCCTCCTCCACACCAGCAAGAGACCAAATGGGGATGGGTACAAATGACACTCTGTTTTCACTGTGTTGCCATTTTCTCTCTACTGCTGAACTCGGCTTCTTCTCACAAGCTTATTGGGCACTGATGTTTGCTGTAAAATGCCTATTCACCATTTCTCCTTTTTCTACCTGCATGTTAGTCTCTGTTTCTTCTTCAAAGAAGTTACATATTATAAACAATATTCTTATCACATATATTATAAATACTTTTCCAAATATTTGAAGACCCCTGCTCTTTCTTCCTTTTTATATATTAAAAAAAAAAAACTATTCTCAGACCTTCCTTTCTCTGTATAAATCCAATTCATTCAAATAATTAGATTCTAATTTTGAAAAGGCTGTTTGGATTCTAATGGGACTTACATGGAGTTTTTTAAATGAGTTTTAAAATATGACATTACTGTTATATTAAGTATTGAGACTCACAAGCCAAGAGCATACTACAGAGGTTCATTTGCTCAAGACTTACATTCCTCACTTGGATTTTATGCCTTTTATTGTTTACATGTCTGCATTCTGAAACATAATTTAATTAAGACTTTTGCAACTTGAGAAAGAAATATTTTCAAAGTTATGAACACTATACATTTGTAAAATTACTGTTTGATCACATTATTACTGACTCTGAAAACATCACCTTTTCCACTGAAAGAAGTTTTAATTTTGATGCAGTTAATGTGTTATTTTGTATAGCTTCTGGATCTCTGGACATGTTAAAGCACAATCCTATTGCCCTGTCTGGTGTATAGAATATCCTGAAATTTCTTTTAAGATTTTTAAATTATTTTATTGTAAACAAAAAAATCATTAATAATGTTTATTTTATTGTTAATAAAATGATCCACCTGGCATTCAGCTTTGTATGTGGTCTAAGATTCGGGTCCAATTTTGTTCTCACCATGACAGTTACTTAGGGTGGCACCATTTATTAACCAATTTTTTCCCACTGACTTGAGCCAACACTTTTGTCATATATTAAATTCTTATACATACTGGAATCTATCTCAGGATTCTATCCTACCGATTATTTTACCTGTCTAATCCTACCGATTATTTTACCTGTCAGTCCACCAATCCATACTGATTTCATTTCAATGATCTCCTATTATCTTATGGTAACTCATAATTTAAGTTCCCCTTCACTGATCTTTGTCTTCATACCTTTAAAGGCTTTCCTCAGGTAATTCCTTTCCATGAAAACATTAATATCATTTTATCCATATTAAAATGAAAAAGAGCCTATGGATTCTAAGTGAAAGTGAATGACATTTATATGATAATTCTGGAAGAATCAAAATTTTTATCTATTAAGATTGTCAACCAAAAACATATCTATACATATACAAAAAATCTATACATTTGTAGATCTTATTTTATGTTTTTCAATAACATTCCAAAGTTTTCTCTGTTTTCATTGCCCCTCTATTAATTTGTGATTAAAGCATTTGAAAATTGGGGAAATTAGCATTTTTATTGCTAAGTTAAAAACTTGGGGGTGTGTGTGATTGTGTGTGTGTGTTTGTGTGTGCAGACAGAAATACTATTACTTGGCACAACTGTTGCTGATTTCTGGGAATTCTGGGAAATGTGACAACATGGCCAAACCAAAAGTTTTAGATTTGAGCTGGAGGGTGGGATGGAAAACTTATTTTATGCTTAAAATTAGATTTAATTTTTTTCTTTATTGAAATCTGTGATTATTGCAATACTATCTGAAAAGTTTCAGAAATATGATCCCCATTTATTCTTGCAATTACAGATATGATCAAAAATGAAATATTTTCCTGTGCTCCTAGGAACAAAATATCTGAATAAAGTCATTGTAGGATCATGACTCCAGAGTCTTACTTGACTAGAAAGTTTGGCCGCTTCCACAGCATGTTCAAAATCTGGTCTTCCAATGACAGCAGGCTCTTTATTTATTACTCCTTGCCCTTTCTTGTATTCTGCCTAAAATTAACAAGAACATATTGAATAATTCTACTTTATAATGATGAATTACATTAACATTAATCAAAATAAAATATAATAGACCCTCAGCCCATTAAAAACATATTCCTTAGAACACATCAAATACTAACATATAGACTGCTAAAGCCAGAATTCATTATACAGTATAGTTATATATTATTAACTTTTAGCAGTAAAAATAATTATTAACTTTGAGACTAAGCATCCAGCTATCATCACTTATACAAATACTGAAAAAAAAATACATAAGGAGAATTTTCTGGATAGAGATCCTGCATTCTTCATATTTATGGTTTTGTTTTTCTTTGGAAACTGATCTGACATGTTTGATCCACATGCAGTTGACTTTAGTAATTACTGATTGTTAAGGTACACTTAGGGTATTCCAATATTCAGTTTGAGTTCAATCATCATTTCAACCAGAATTTTTGGTATGTTGAAGTCAAATGGTATTAACCAAGGAGAGTATTTTAGAGACATAAGAAACAGCCTCAGCAGGGGGGAAACATGCAACCACGTTGATGGAAAAGAATCTGCACAATTAACAGCATTGAGATGGGATGAGGCCAAGAGAAGTTCTTTGGAACAGGGTGAGGTAAGAGACTATACTGGACCAGAAAAGTGACAACCCTAACTTTTAGGGTGAGACATTTGGATATGATCTTATCCCCACATAGTACTTATACCTCTAAAAGCAAGACAGTCCTAGTCAAGTCCAATTTGGGCAGCTTCTGCATATACCCAAATAATTACATAATCAAATGGATAATTCAGGGAAAAACATTGAGATGTCACTAATCCAGATTGATTAATTACACTAATTAAATTAACCATCCAAATACCAAAGCTGTACTTTGTATCTTGCAAAAAAAATTTTAAAAAGCATTTCTGTACAAGATTTAAAAAGATGAATTACATTGCTTATGATCTTGGAGATCTGAGTTGCCTTCTTGATATCCGGTCTGTCCAGCTCCGCAGTATACGTGTGGGTGTCCTGCACATCTTTCCTATAAGAAATCTGATCAAAGAGACAGTTTTGATTGAAAAGAAACAAGGGGGAAAAAAACAACTTAGTAATTTCATTTAGCTACTAACCTTCATGTCTGTAACATTATTTGTCCTTGTCATAATTGCTAAGAGAACTTATTGGCCTTGAGTTGCTTTTTTCATGTTTTGGTGCACAACATTCATTTTCATAGACAGATTAACTCGTCACAGTATACCTATAGCTCACTAACATTAACATATTTGAAATGAAAAAAATATATATTTGAAATGGATTTATATTACCTAAGAAATAGAAGGCTAAGAACAGGGCACAAACCAGTCTCAAAGGATTTTTCACAGATACCTATTAGCATGCTTGGTGTGTAAGTGTGGATGCTTCTGTTCATATACAGAATGTACTTAGCAATCACTTCAACTTGCCTACCACATATTCTCAACCTCAGGGGATGTAGCGTAAGTCCCAGCAAATGAAGACTAAAAATCACTTCCTTTGGGGAAGGAAGGTGTTGAGGCTCTCAACTACACTCTTCTCTCCTTTTTCTAACTGAACTCTTCAAATGATCATTCCAAGGAGACCTAGACATGGCTACCAATAGTTTTACCATCCATACATATATCATTATGATAGCTTGATCCATTCAAAATAAGAATTATTACATTAAGAAATATTCTCCCTCTGAATGTTATGCATGTTAGACATAATCAAGCCAAAGTACAGAAAGTAGAGATTTAAAGATAAAAATGTATGAATTTTGCCAAATGTTAAATACTTTAGATCATGTACCTTTATGTTAACTTGACTAACGAATAGAGGAGAGACCAGAATAACATTGCTATCATGTCTGATGGTCAACATCTCACTTGTCTCCCACTTTCCAAATTCTTGATTTGTCATGAGCCAAAGCAATTGTCAGCTGTGGGTCTATATGGCATATTACCAGAGGTGGTTGATTTATCTATTATAATACTTTCCATTAAAGTAAAAATGCAAAGCATGCAGAAACCCATCTTTACTTTTTCAGAGCACAAAAAGGTAGAAAACTGAAATAAACCATTGGCTACTTTATAATTACCTTTTGCACAAGGATTTTTAACATTGCTTGTAAACTTTCTGCAATAGCACCATCTGAGCTACTTATAAAATATTTAGATTCCTAAGGTCTATCCACAATCCTCTGGAATAAAATTTTGGTAAATGGAGCCCAAGAATCTGATTTTAATGAATTCCCTAGTTGATCACTATGAACCAGTGTTCTAGATAATATTAATGTATCTTGTTATTTTCTCTTCAACCTTGAAGATCTAAAACACTCCTACTTTTTTTTATTTCTTCCAAAAACAATTATCAGCTGTGAGACATGATAATGCATTAATACTTCAACAGATTCCCTTTGCATTATTTTATTTCAATGAAATATTAAGGTACACTTCTTCTATTTGCCCTTTGAAAGCTTATTTTTGCCTCACTACCAAGATCATTTTTTAAATTGCATTTACAACTGTGAATCTGAAAAGTACATAGTGTTTAAGCACAATTAGTATTAAGTCCCTCAGAATTAATACTTCATAAGCTTTATGTTAGCAAGTAATTTCAGGTAGGTTTTATACATACAGGTAGTAAAAGAAACACAAATATAAGCTAGTGACTGAGTTATATTGTCTGGTGAATTTTCAATCTTCAGGGATTTTTTTTTTTAATAGACCAATTACATTGGCTTCACAAAGCAACACACTCATCCACAAATGATAGCAACTCAACCTCAGCCTACAGGGAGTTAAAACACAAGCTGTGTAAACAAAAACCAGCTCTCAGGTGAAAACAAACCCAAATTATTACCCACCTCCAAGACTGTTTCTAAGTTACTACATTCATTTGAAAACCACCAGGGGAGGGGGAATGTCTTTTTGTTTAGAAAAGAATGAGGGTAAAAATGGAAACCTTTACTTTTTGAAAAGAACTGCAACCTTTCAGCAATCCCAGCTTTACATGGGTTACCTAATTATATGCTGTTCAGCCTAATGACTGCTGAAGAGAGGTGAACAGCACAAAGGCGGCAGGAGCAGGACTTTGAATAGGGCCCCATCATCCATGTAAATTGCAAATTAGAGGCCAGCATATGTGACTCAAAACAAATATTAAGATTGACATGAGCTGTACATTCAAACAAGAGGACACCACAGAGCCACACAGGAGAAAAGCGCAGGAGCCTGATCACAAGTCAGATCTTCTGGAACGCTACTGCTCAGGGATATTCCACAGGAAAGGGGGCTTACGTCTGTGGACCCGCAAGAGTAGCAAGCTCCTGGTTTCACTCTTGCAAGGATGTCTGAACATGCATGGTATGGCAACACGGTTTCCTGAGGAGGTTACTCATCTTCCTGTACCTAGATCACCCTTAGCTTTGAGGGAACTCATCTGACATTCCTCATGTGTCTGCAGTATGGATTTGTTCCATTCTGGCATTGCATCAGAACTCAGGAAGAGTCCAATGGTCAAGTAGCAGAAGAGCTTGGAGGTCCAAGTGTGTGTATAGGCAAGCTCACGTGCATGTGGGTATGTCTGTATTTCCTGAATCAATTTGAAATCTAAATGCTAACCATATTGAAACAGTGGATTGGCCACCATTTTTTATTCTTCTCAAGACAACATAGTGATCTAAATAATATTGTTTCTAGGAAGAAGAGAGAAAGGAAGAGATTCTTGAAAATCATCAACCCAGAATGGGCTAATGGGTATAAGCTTGACAGTCAATGATTGATTTTATGTTATCTCCTTCAATGTTTTATTCCGGCTATGTTCTCAAAGCACAGAAGAGAACGAAGAAGGAAGAGAAGCAAAAAAGAAGAAAGAAGGAAAAAAAGAAGATAGCAGGCGGAAGATGGAGGAGGTGAGGAGGAAGAGAAACCAATGATATTAAAAATGGTCTCTAAGACTGGGGCTGTAGCTCAGTGGTAGAGCACTTGCCTACCACGTGTGAGGCACTGGGTTCAATCCTCAGCACCACATTAAAAAAAATAAATTAATTAAATAAAGGTATTGTGTCCATCTTCAACTAAAAAGAAAAATTTTTAAAATGGTCTCCACTTTTAGACTCTTCAATATGCCTAGGAAGAACTTACTTACTTCTATGGATTTTTTTCAAAATGTCCATAAAATCTGTTCAATTGAATTCCCTTCTTACTCTTCTATGTCAAGTGTATTCTTAATCTTTATCTAGTGTATTCTTAGTAATGAACATTAGAAGCATTTGAGTACATCCCACAAAGGAAACAACTGGAATTTTAATGAGTATTTCACTGATCTTACAAAACGACTTCAGGAAAAATAATATCTCAACAATACTTAAGACTCCCCTAGGGGAAGATGCCATATTTTTTCCATTTCCCTAATTCTTTTATTATATATCTCAGTGACATCTCATCATTCTCTTCTATATGTCTGTCACAAGGCAAAATAGTAATTATCATTGAAGATCATTTTTATATATTTATCTTATATCCAAGATGATCAGCTTTATCTTTTTCACAGTAGGAAGACATATAATTTCATCTGCAAATGATGATTCTGGTCTCTTCCATAGGGACACTCAGAATTACTATTTTAGATACCTGATTACTTCCTTTTGCCTTCTACTTTAACTGAATTTGTCTCTTTCCACATATCTGAGTCATTTTCCTAAACTATTCCTTTTTTAGTAGACATGTATTCATTTTTTTCTCCTAGGAATTTTTATTTGGAAACTGTCCCCCTGACTCCAGGTGATCAGGAGGGACCCTCAATCTGCCTCTCTATAGACAGGGTTGGCCACATGCCCTGGACCATCCAATCAGGTTCTGGATCCACTTAGAAACCATGGTTTTAAAAGGCACACTTATATTCCAAGCAGGGGCAGAGTCATCCAGTGGATCTGAGGCTGAGGTTGGCTCACACTTTTCTCTGGGATCAGCTGCTATGAGGATGATTTAAGCTTTGAAGTTACAGCTGTCATCTTGAATCCTCACAGAAACTGTGTGAAAGGAACATCACCCCACGCAAGTAGAGTGAGATATGGGACAGAGGAGGGCTTTGGGTGACACTGTGACAGCTCTGGAACCAGTTGTGCCTGGAGCTAGTGTTCATTTCCTAATTACAGTCTGCCCTCAATATCCCTGGCTTCCACATCCAGGACTCAACCAACCATGCATTGAAGAAATTCAAAAAAGAAAGTTATATCTGTACCGAACATGTACAGACTGTCTTTGCATCATTATGCCCTAAACAATACAGTATAATGACTGTTTACATAGCTTTTATATTGTTTTAGGAATAACAAGGTAATCTATAGTTGATTTTAAATATAGAGGAAGATGTGCACGGATTACACGCAAGTACTGTGCCATGTTTTATTAAAGACTTGAACATGCCCAGATTTTTAGTGTCCACAGGGGTCCTGGGACCAATCACTTGAGGATATCAAGGCACAACTATACATATACCAATAAATATTCCTTTTACTCCAAGGACTTTAGATTCCTGTCGAAAATGCTAGCAAGATCCATTTCATGTTTTTCTGCAGCATCTAATCTGTTCTTTTTTTTTAAACCTCCAATAAAGAATTGTATTCCATCAAATTTTGTCTTTGAATTTCTTCCTTATCTCACCATGTTCCCCTTTGCCCTAGCTTTATTTTCATATCACTTCATGGTCTTTGAATCTTGTCTTGTTCCCTCCTTGAATCTCCTTCTGCTTCAAAACAGCCATGTTCTTTGCATGCTTCCTTCATTCCTGCAGCGTGATCCACGTTAGGCACTGCTCTGGATCCTCTATGTGTATTAATTCATTAAACCATCACCCCACCCCTGTTGGGTGGGGTTGTCTATACTCAATCAGGCTCTTCTGAAGCTCCTTTTCCAGGCTGGAGCAACATCCCCCAGCATCCCCTTCCATATACAGTCATGGGTTAGACTTGGCCACTAAACTGGCTCCTATGAGATTCTGAAAGTAGCACAGATGCCTTTACTCCCCAGGTACAGCCAGATACATGTGTGTGATCTAAGGATTCGCAATGACCTTCCAGCAGGCTTTCTACTTTTATAAAATGGTGATTTGAGACTCCTTGGTAGGTGAGTTAATAAACTAGATAGAAGCAAAACCTCCACAGACTGTCAGTGAGGTGAAAGCAAAGCACTGGGAGATGAGAAGACTGGGGGGTGGGGAAGGGAGCCTCCCTGGAAACCACAGACAGACAGACACCTGTGGGACTGAAATTTCACAAGCAGGCAGGCCTTGAGAGAATGAGATCAGGCTGGGCTAGGACCAATATTTTCATTGCTCTGGTGAAGGTTAAATGATTCTTGGTGAGAAGAAACTAGAACAGAAGTGAGGAGTGTAACCTGTATAGAGTCACAATCTTGAAGCCCAGGTTCAATCATTATCAAGAAAACCTTTTATTATCATCATGAACTCCAGGGGCACAGGAACTTTTTTCTTTCTTTCTTTCTTTTTTAAAATGTTTTTTTGTTGTGCTGGGAATCAAACACAGGGCCTTGCACATTCTAGACAAGGGCTCTATCACTGAGCTACACCCCCAGCTCCTGGAAAGTCTTTTATTAAACTTACTTAAATGTTATTATTTATAAGAGAATATGAACCTTTTTAAGATATAAATCTTGTTTTCTATACGACAATATAAACTTTTCAAATATAAGTGAATATACATTCTGATGCTATTGAGCAAACAAAAAAGTTTTTAATTGTCTAAAAAGATGGAGTAAAATAAGTTACATCTAAAACAATGTATCATTATTATTATTATTATTGCCAATGTTTATATGTCATTTTATAGTTAGTATATGTCTTCTTATTCATAACTTAATTTTATCAACCACACAATCTCATGAAAAGAGCAGAATAGGTATTACTAACAATTTTGGCTTGGAGATGAACAAGAATACCAATATATTTAGTATCTGAAATACTAAATCCTTACAGGCTATTACTATAAGTCACACTGGGGAACCACACGGAGCCGTAATTGTTTTTCCAGTATTATTTTACTGATTTATCTTTAAGGTTTTTCACTTTCTGATGAAACAGAAATTTGTCTACTGATAAGGTTTTATTAATTTTAAGTCAGTACATAAATCATTCTTGAAAAAGAACATTAAATCTCTTATTTCCCATGCTGAATACTTTCTTTTTCATACATGTTGAATTGATTACCAATATGGTGTTTAGGTAAAGTTTACTATTCCGATTTCATCACAAGTTGGTATAAACCATACTATTTATAAAACTTAAAATGGTGATTTTTTGTTTGACTTTCTTGAGAACTATTGGACTTCAGGCCTCTGATAAGATGGATGAGAACTAACAATGTAATTGAGGTTTTCATTACAAGTCCATCTTCAGGGGAAAGTCACAGAACAGAAAACCTCCAGTTTCTCTCATTACATTAGTAAAATTTGGCAGGAATATATCCCTTAAGATATAAAAGGATTTAGATTGGCTGGTTTTAATCAATTTTTAATTATAGTGTCAATAAGATACGTTCAGAAACTTCTTAAATACACCCTTCTGACCAAAACACTTCTTAATATTAATTTCATATTGATTTAGCCCTTTTATAAACCAATTCTCTTTTAATTGTTTCAAATGAATGATGATATCATCCTAAACACTCAAATCACCCTTTAAAAACTGGAGGAGGACCAAGTAGGCCCAATATTTTATTGAGTGTCTCTTCTGCAGAGCCCTTTACATATATTATTTAATACTTGTGAGAGCCTGGGGAGGTAGATGTCCTTGTCTCCATTTTATAGAAAAAAAAAAACTGAGATATAGAGATATTAAGTAACTTGTCCCAGGTCATCCGCAGGATGGTACCAGGGATTGAACTCAGGGGCACTCAACCACTGAGCCACATCCCCAGCCCTTTTTGTATTTTATTGACAGAGAGGGTCTCACTGAGCTGCTTAGTGCCTCACTAAATTGCTGAGACTGGCTTTGCACTCTCAGTCCTCCTGCCTCAGCCTTCCGAGCTGTGTGTGCCACCGTGCCCAGCTACAGCCAGCATTTTGAGCATGTTCTAACTCCAAAATTTTTTTTCCCTCATATATACTAGCATAGAGCAAATTCTAATAATTTTTCCCTTTTGGTGATCTTTAAATCTTAGAGTGATACAAGAGACCCCTGCCCCCAGAATACTCTTCCCCTTGGAACTTTCAGTTACTCAGAGGTGAGAAATCAGTTCATAAATAAACATCCCTCTCCTCTTCTTCTGCTCATTTACATCACTGAAAGTATAAGGGAGAGAAAGATTCTGAAGAAAAATCACTCCTCTTGACCACTAAGGACCATTTTAATAAAAGGTATGATCAGAAAGGAGGCAAAAATTAACTTGCTCTGATCTGCAATTATTCTAGTTTCCTGGGTCTCTAGCAGAACTCAGAAAGCTGACTTGATTTTGGTGGCAACATAAATTAAACCAGGTAAGCAAAGGCACTGACTTTCATCGTTCCTCAGTTAATCATATTCACAATGGATGGTACATTTTTATTTGAAATTAAGTCACTCACTTATAGCCAGAGTGCAAAGTGACATTCCACATCACAAAAGGGCAATTAATTCTGCTAGTCAATTCTCTGCCTAAGTTTCTTCAGGCTGATGTTTTATGGGAGACAAGAGTTTTGTCTTTCACAGAGATTAGGTGGGTCCAGCTGAACCAGGAGACATACACACTAGCTCTCCTTGCAGCTTTTAAGACCAATCCTTAAATTTCATATTGTAGGGACAACAAATGTATTACTCCAAGTGGCTTGACTCTGGAGGAATATCAACTACTTCACAGGTAGAATACAAATATCATTCTCACTTTAAATCTAAGTAAATAGTCTTAAACACTTTCCAAATCCTATTATATGTACAAACTTTGCATGCAAAGGTTGGGCTGTGTTGGCAGAGGAGTGTAAGTAAACACATCCTTCTCCCATGAGCACACACTGTTGAATGGAGGAGAAAAGGGCTTCATTCTGTATTCCCTCAATCAAAGACCTTTTAAAAGAAAAGGCAGAGTTAAAATAATAAGCCCAGTTCTATGACAAGGAACTCCCCTATTTGAATTGCATGGAATTATAGAGTAAGAAAAGGCCTCCCAGGGATCCATGTTACACCAGTCTCCACCCCAGGGCACCAGCCCACCTTCTACCCTTGGACTTTTATATGAGTTCAAGGTCTCTCCAGCCACAAAATAGTGGGAACTCGGGTGTTTCCGTTATTCTTTCCTGCAGTGCATCTGAACTCAGATGATGTCTTACAATGCTACCCATTTTTTAAATGTTTTTGGTTATAGATGGACATATACCTTTTTTAAATTTTTATGTAGTGCTGAGGATTGAACCCAGTGCCTTCCACATGTGAGGCAGGCACTCTATCACTGAGCTACAACCCCAGCCCACAACGCTACTCATTTTAAAAATTTCACTTAAAATCTTGACTAATTACCAGTGACCTTTAAGAAGAAGATAGCGGGGTACAGCAAAAAGAGCGAACTCCAGAGTTTGATTCCCGAGTCTTCTTTTCTTCATCTAAGAAATGGGAATCAGTACAGGGATTTTGTAAGAAACGGAAATGATCAAAGTCTTGGCACAGAGCCTGGTGCATGGCTGAGCTGGGTAAATGGTAGTTAGGATTATTATAGTCATTCTGTAAGCAAACAGTTCTTATAAGGCCTCCCTAAAATAATAGCCCTGATAATAACTGCAGACCTGCAGCTTCTTCATCTCCTGTCAATCCTAAAGCATCTTAGAGAAATGCTTTGGTATCAGCATATGTTTAAACATGTGGGTTAGTATGTTAAATTCCTCTCTGGTTTTTAATTTAAACATTTAATGCAATTTAATACCAAATAGTCATTGCCGTACTGCAGAGAAACACTCTGTACCTCTGGGCCTTGGAGGCACAGAGTCAGCAAAGTTGCTTGGTAGGAGGACTAAGTGACAACCTCCTTTTGAGATAACAAAGATAGATCAGGAACTTTTTCAAGAAAGGGGATTTCTTAATCTAACTAGGACAGGCACCTTATCTTAACTGATTCTAATCCATCAAGAACCTGACCAGCGGTTCATACATGTCTTTTGGAAAGCAGAGAATTTCATGACGAGAAGACAAGTTGCCACTACAATTTCAGGAACAGATTATTCTTCTAAGACACCAGGAGAGTAAGCGGTAATTAAACAAATGTATGTAAGCCTTCATGGGCCTGGGAACTGACAACCAAAGAAAAACTTCATTTTCTACAGGCTAACTTTCTTCCTCTTTGTTCTGCTGCTAAGTCCGTCATTAGGCATCTGTTGCTTCCATATTTCCTATCTGTTGGTCCTTACGTTTAATAACTTGATGCCAACAAGCAGTTTAAAAGAAAGAGCAGTGGGGTACAGTCTAGCCAGTGCTCATGGGTGATTCTTCCCTGGGTCACTGGTTGCTGATGCTCTTTCTTGCAGCATTTTTGTGATTCTAGACTGGAAACCATGAGCTTCCACATCAAGTCAAGGAAGCTCTAGAAATGCTGATAACCCAATGGTCTTCTTGAAGCAAAATTTTTAATGCCTGAAAATACCTGGCAATTTAGAAGCATTCTACAAGGTTTTAATGACTATCTTAAGAATAATTCTAATGTACCTCTTACTGATAAGCTATAAAGTCCTTTTTTTGAATAGAAGTGTTGTAATATTTAAATCTCAACTCAATAACCACAAGTTGTAATATGAGTTAGCTACAATTTTCCAGAAAATGGCGAGGAATGAGTTTCCTTACGTTACTCTGGTGTTTGTTGACCTCCATGGCATGTCTGAGATCAGGCGGCTCCTTCATGTGGGCATAATCTGAGACTCCTTTGGCAGCATCATGCTTCTGCTTATAGGCAACCTTCAAAAGCACAAAAAAAACAATTAGTTCCATTTAGAGGTAGCCAAGGGCCGGGGTATCTGCCTAGTGTGCACAAGGCCATGGGTTAGATCCCCAGCACTGCCCAAAAAATCAATCAATCAATTTTTTTAAAAATCCTATAGCAGTATATAAAATTCTTAACTGTTTAATTCCACTGTTTTACAAGGATTTTGTATATTTAAATACCACCAATGATAGATAAATTTGCCTGAGCCTCTGTAACAAGATAATATATATAATGCTTTCATCTCAGTGCTTTGGTTAAGATTCCTAATTCTAACTCTATCATTTATTACAAAACAACCTTGAACAAATGATGAAATCCACAATTCTATTCATCGAGCTTAAATCTCACCTATAGTTTTGGGAAATCCTCCACATCTGAGAGCTTTCACAGTTACAAATGTTCAAGGTTTAAATCTTGAGAAAACAACTGAGCAGATGCAGGGAGGTGGGCAATTATAGAGTATGTAAAAGTTAGTTGCTTATTTTTACATGAAAGGTTCTGATTTTATGTAGATACAACCATAATATAAGATACACCTCATTAAATGCCCAAAGCTTTGGGAGAAAATATAATACACAGATGAAATTCTCAGTTATGTCAGCCTTGTTCTCCATCAGGGATCTGAATGTCATATACCAATACCCTCCATTACCAACCACCTGGGCCAATTTTCTCCATACTGGGTGGAGAGGGGGTGTAAGGAAGATTTTTTTTTTTAGAATGACATCAACTAATATCTGCTCAGTGAATGAATAAATGAATGAATAACCATGAGTGAACATAAACCAACAAATGAAGAAAAGAATGGCAAAATTAATTTTAAAGTATATTAAGGATTTAGTAACAAACACAGTTGAGTGGAGTAGAAATCATGAGGCACAAACAAAATAAAGGCAACCTAAAAAGAAAAACTAGAACAGTTGTGGTCAAGAATAAAATAAGGTCTAGTTTTCAATGAAAAAGAATATAGTTAAACTTAAGGAGAATTCTTTAGCAATATGAGCTCCTTGAGAAGTGGGTCTATATCTTACACATCTTTTAATATCCTGTGCCTATCACAGTGAATGACACAGAGTAGAAATGCAATAAATGTATAGTGAATGGATGAATAAATGAGTTTATTCAACATTCTCATAAACCTACACCCCTCATGGGCTTTCATAAACAGAATTAAACACCCATTTAACTTAGATAATATACTTAGTTTTAAAATTATAACTTTAATCTTTTAAATAAGTTTTACAAATAAAACCATTGAATCTTTCTATCCTTCCCTCCCCCCAAAAAAGCCATCTAGTCCAATTTCCAATGTTTAACTCTCCTCTCTGGCTCCCCACTTTGTTTTTCTTTAAAAATGTCTACTGAAAAAGAATTCAACCTAGGACATCACAGTCTCTGAATTTGGAAAGCTATGATTGAAACTTCTTCCTTTGATCAAACCCCATCTATCTGTCCAGAGTTGGATCTATCCAGTCACAGAGAAAAGGCCTAGTTCACAACACAGAATTTCCAGTGGGAAGACAGATGACTAGCCACCAATGACTTCTGCCCTTCCAGACAGGCTGCTTGGATTAAAGGGTTGAACCCCTGATTATCCAAGAAGCCCTCTTGAATCCAAATCCCAATTTATCCATCCCATTCCCACAACAGCCTGACTTAATCCTATTTAGAATTACTCAATTGAATCCAGGTTATCCTCCTCCACTTGCTAAATGCTATTAATGCATTCACATGTCATGACAACTTCCTTTTGACAGCTATGTTGATATTCCTGTCAATTAATGCACTTAAGTCTTATTCAGCTGGCTTCCCACATCCAGTCCTGTGTGTTTGGTTGATTACCAGGACTCAAATGCAGCCCCTATGTTGTTCCAGGTATAATACACCTTGTTACAGTCTGTCCATCAATTTACTCCATCAAGATATCTAATTCTGATGAATACATCTTTACATTTTCATCAATTACTTATGTTAAACAGGAAACCTCTTAAGGACCCCCATGCAGGGTGAGAGAGTCCATTATCTCAGTTCCATTACATATGACATTAGAACCCTGAGGACAGGAAGGGGGAGTAGTTTAATGGATGGTCAAGTCTAAAAGACAAGGAAAAACTTCTGTTGAGATTTGTTTCTTCTTCTTAAATAAGAAGAGCTAACATATGCCAATCTCCTTTTTGAAGGATGGCTGGTATATTCTGTATTTTAGACTGATGGTCATGTTTGTGACTTGATAACCAAGACCAACGCAGCTAATCATTTTGTGAGTGATCATAGAGATGGTGACTCATCAAGCACAATTTTAAAAAGCACGCTTTCTTAAAAAGCCTACGTAATTTTCTACTTGCAGCTTTAAAATAGTCATTTCATTTATAGATGCCACTAAGCACCACTTTAGAATTAAGATTGCATCAAACTGGAGGCAGCGGAACTTTAATTTATCATATTAATTTTCTTCCTTAAGATAGCTAATGGAAACTTATGTCAAGCTAATAAATTCTCTGATAAATTTGATTTTCTTAGGATCTGTCATTATTATGTGGTATTTCCCTACATTATAACTGTTTTCTTCATGCTTTGAGAACTCAGATTGCTATGGCACTAGACACTCAAAGAGTGGTGGGAACTTGCAATAGTCATACATACTTTATATATAAATGTTTATGTAAGCAGTGTATATATTTATCATATATTTTATCTCCTAGATTTTACATCTCACATATTCATGTGTATGAATATATATGATGTATATAAGTTTAACTTCTAATACACTTTGTAAGTACTATATAGGTAAATGTACTTTTAATCCCATACCAAACACCTCTGAACTCCTATAACAGGGCCCCATAAATACTACTGATAAAAACAATCGATTCCCATAAAACTGCTCAGTTAGGATGACTGAGCAGTCTGTATTGCTTCTGTGATAAGGCATTATTTAGCCTTTTCCTGAAATAGCCTTGCTAAGAAGGATTCCATCACTTCAAGTCACAGTCCATTCCATTGCCAGGTTCCTTTGGGATCTTTGTTTATAAATTTTTCTAATGGAGAGCAGCTGATAAAATGGTCTCCTGGAAACTTCACAACTTTCATTTTTTAAATTGTTTTCTTTTTGTAGTTGTAGATGGACAGATGCCTTTATTTTTTCTATTTTGATGTGGTGCTGAGGATCAAACCCAGTGCCTCACACATGCTAGGCAAGCATTCTGCAACTGAGCTACAGCCCCAACTCCACAACTCTCTGTTTTAAAGGTGTTTCTTCCTATCAGTCATTTTCTAAAGGAAGCATAAATTTAACTGTTATGGTCTGGATATGAAGTGTCCCCCTGAAAAGCTCATGTGTTAGTTAATACAGGAATGTTCAAAGTCAAATATGATAAGAGCTACAACCTCCAGGGTGGATCATCCCATTTGAAGGATTAATAATTTGAATGGATAACTGTAGGCAGCTGGACGTGTAACTTGAGGAAGTAGGTCACTGGGGGTGTGCTCATAGGTGGAATCCTATGTTGCCCCTGGCTCCTCCCACTTGCTCTCTCTGCTTCCTGGCTACCATGAGACAACAGATTCCTTCTGCCATGATGATCTGCCTCACTTCAGCCCCAGAGCAATGGAGTGATCAACCATTCTCTGAGTGAAAATAAACTTTTCCTCCTCTAATTTTTTTTTTTTGTAGTGTTGGGAATTGAACCCAGGACCTTGTGCATGCAAGGCAAGCACTCTACCAACTGAACAAATTTACTGGCAATAAGATGTAAGAAAGTAGAAAAACTATTTGCAAGAGTCTGTGATAATTAAACAATCCTTTTATTGTGCCCAAAATGTTTCAGAGTTGTGGTAACTTAATTTAGAATAATAGACGAATTCTAAACTTTAATGGCATTCTGAGTTGTAATAAAAATTCTCAACAAACTATTATCTACAAATTATTGAATTATTATAAACAATTCAAATAATCTTTCTAATGCTTAAATTCAATGTAGAGTTAAAAAAAAAAAAAAAGCCAGCGAGTGTGTTTGCTGTTTGTAATCAAATACCTACAAGAACACCTTATAAGGCTGGGGATGTGGATCAGTGGTTAAGCACCCCTGGATTCAATCCCTGGTACCAAAAAAAAAAAAAAAGAGAGAGTGCATACATACATGGTAACAATGTACATGATATCCTATTCCATCAAAAGCAATACAATAGGCCCAAAATATACATAATGGATTAGGGGATTATTTTTTTCATGTTAAATTCCACATTGCAAGTATTTACATTCTATATACCTACTTATGCTACTAAAAATTGAGGCCAGAGTCAGGTGCAGTGGCACACACCTGTCATCCAAGCTACAGGGAAAGGTGTGGTGAGGCCAGAGGATTGCAAGTTCCAGGCAGCCTGGGCAATTAGTGAGACCTGTCTCAAAACAAAATAAAAAGGGCTTGGAATGTAGCTCAGTGGTAGACCCCTTGACTTTGCATGCTTAAGTTTCTAGGTCTAACCCCCAGTACAAGAAAGAAAGAAAGAAGGAAGGAAGGAAGGAAGGAAAGAAAGAAAGAAAGAAAGAAAAGAGAAAAGATGCAAATATCTGACAATGTTAGTTTCTCACGTAAATATAAAAATAGACTCTAAAAAATTTTCTTTATTTAATGAATAACTGTTGCTTGTCTTATATCAAGTGTTGTAATTATGTGCTTTATAAAATAGCCCATGTTATCAGCAAATAGCCAGGTGACCAGATGTTGGCAGGAAAAACAAAGGATATATTGGTTACGGTCAGTCATGCAGAGCCTTGATATTATATATTTTTAGCTTAGCTAAATCTCAGCTAATCTCAGCTGTTAGCTTACTGCCAAGTTGGGTTCACAAAGGATGTTTACATTTGTAGTAATGAGGTATTTAAAGATGTTCTGCAAAGGGTAGCAATCCTTAGAATTTTTCAAGACTATTTTAAAATCAAAATTGATTTTCAGACTGTTATATAATTACCATGGTATCCTCTATTTAAAAGTAAAATAATTCTAGAGAAGGAATCCACATAATAAAGAAAGAGAGAGAGAGAGAGAGAGAGAGAGAGAGAGAGAGAGAGAGAGAGAGAGAGAAAGAAAGAAAAGTAGTAGGAAAGATGTGGGATAGTGTGTGGCTAAGAATGCAGACTCTGGAGCCAGACTACCCATGCTTGTATGCTGGCTCTACCGTTTACTGGCTGTGTGACCTTTGGCATGTTACTTAAAAACTCTGTGCTTTGGTCTCCATATCTCTAAAATGAGAATACTTCCTGGGGTTGTTGTGAGGATTAAATGACATAAATACATTTGAAATTCATGAAATAACACCTGACATATCGCTAGTACTTTTATTTGCTTCCATTATTACTAACCTACACTGTGGCATGAAGAATACCAACTATGAAAAAGGAAGCATATCCTTTAGAAGGAAGCCCATAAATCCAACAATACTGAATAGTTCCTATGTGCCCAGGAGGGTTCCAATTACAGGAGTAGAGTAGGGAAACAGACAGATAAGGGTCCCTGCTCTCATGTAAATTAGCCAAGTAACAGATTAAATAAAAATAAATAAATAATTTTTAAAAACTCAGATTGCACAATGAAGAAAACCAAACAATGAATCAGAAAACAGCAAAGTACTCTACTATAAAATTCTGTTTTAAGAAATGCAAGAGATTAAATGCACATTAAAATGCCTTATGTGTCAAGGTCCTGTACAGGAAAAAATTACCCTTACACTCCTGTGGATTCAAGATGAGTTTACGTGATAATGGTTCTTAAGTTTGTCTGCAACCTGGAATCACTAAAATAGCCACTTTCACCTGATGGAGGCTCTTGCTGGTAGCCTAAGTTATCCTAAATGAAAAGCACCAGCCACAGATCAGGAAATTCAAAAACCACTTGTCTAACAGATGGAGCATGGAACTGTGGGTATCAAGTCCAATTGTTATCTCTTTATGTGACTTTTAACAAGCTCTCGAAATGTTCTCTACTTAGGGATCATATTGTTAAATAAGAATCATTCAACAGGTGGTATAAGAATTTCATCTTCAAAATGGCATGGAGGCACACATCTGTAAGCCCAGCTGCTTGGGAGGCTGAGGCAGGAGGGTGGCAAGTTTGAGGCCAGCCTGGACAACTTAACAAGACCCAGTTTCAAAATTTTTAAGAAGTTGCGGGTGGGGGAGGGTGTGGAGAGATGTCTTGCCTAGTATGCATGAGGTCTTGAGTTCAATCCCCAGCATTACACAACAAACCAGAATTATTTCAGTTTTGTAAACTGTCAGACTCTACAAAGAGCAATGAATGGGACTCAGAAAAATAGCATGCATTTAAACTTGCATGTCCCTTTTACCCTCTGCCACTTGGCTACAGAGAGCACATAATCCAGCTGTTTCCATTCAGTGTCTAATACCCAGAGTAAACAACTCTTCCTAAAATATTAAATAACTTTAAAGAGATTATATCTTTGATCTACCTCATTATATACCAATTTGAAAACACACCTCACTCTGAAGCTGGGAAACTTCTCTCGCAAAGACACTGTCAATGGTGGCAGGCATCTGCTTATAAAGAGAGTTGGAAAGGTTGACCTTCACATTGCCTCTGTATTTTGCCTAGAGGAAATAAAAAGAAAATGAAAATCCCCCTCCTTTTTAATTTTTTTAAATTTTTTACTGTAAATAATAGAATAAAATTTTCTGTAGAAACCTCACTGATTCAACAATTTTAAATTAAACCTGCACTTGAATTTTAAATACCAGATCTGATAAATGTACTCTGAAGAGAGAAAGACTTCCAATTTGTGATGGAGAAAGCTTTGAGTGGTATATGCAAGAATGTTGTGACTTTTCTTTTAGTGAAACCCATGCACGTTTCTAAAAAATAAATCTACTTGTGTGTATTGACAGGTTCATATGTTTGAACAGTGAAGAAGCAGTCTGAGAACCATGAGACATTTGAGTTGTTCCAGAAAATACAGATCTTTAAAACTTACTGTCAGGTTCCCAACAACGAAGAATAGTGATTACTAGAGGCTGGGAAGGAGGAATGGGGATAGGCTGGTAGGCCGGGTAGCAGGCACCAAAGCACAATTAGCTAGAAGTATTTCTCGGATACTTTTAGTATTCCTCTAATTCACAATAATGGGGTAGACAAGGAAGAATTGGAGGACGTTGGATTAGACAAAGCGGTGTAAAGGGAAGGGAGGGGGAATGGGAATAGGAAAGATAGCAGAATGAATGGGACATTACTCTCCTATGTGCATATATGATTACATGACCAATGTGATTCTATATCATGTATAACCAGAAGAATGAGAAGTTATCTTCCATGTATGTATAATATGTTAATACATTCCACTATCATGTATAACTAGAAAAGAATAAAAACAACAAGCTCTCCTTCCACAGCACCACGGGATGACCAGCTTACAGAACCTATTATGTGTATTGTAGTGAGGCCTAGAAGAGCTTCAAGGATTCAAATGCAAAGTAATAAAAAAGAGATGGAAACGCCAATTAACCTGATTTGATCAGCACATCTTGTGTACGTGTGTTGAAACATCACACTGTACCCAATAAATATGGACAATTATTACAGATCAATCAAAAAAACTAATGTTTAAGAAGATGGTTAATGACCCTGATTTGATCCTTACCCACGTTATGCACGTATCAAATTATCACACTGCATAATCCTACAAATTCGTACGATAAGATAATAATTATTATTTTTTCAGGCACCCTTTTGTTCTAGACCCCCCTGGAGAGCCACAGTGAGCAGTAGTGGGAGGGGGCCTGTCTGCTCATGCACCTTCCCACCCCCAGCCTGTGCTGGCTCTGAGGGAGCTCAATCATTACTGGAAAAGACAAACACCCATTCACCACTTGCTCTTGGGAAAATTAGGTTCAAGGGAACACAATAGATCACCCACTTGCAATTTTTTGCTCTGCAGTTAACTCCTTCAGGAAAATCAATCAAACACAAGTTGGGAACACCAAGAATTTCTCTGCCCAGGAGAAATAACACAGCTGATATAAACAAAACTGTGTTTTGTGGGTGAGTCCTTGCAAACCTGATTTGGGTGTTGATTTATTGAGCATCTGTTTTATCTGAGCCTTTTGTCTCCACAATTCTAGATGTTGGTAATAATAAAAGAAAACGTGCTGATTTTCTCAAAATCATTTCAGGTTACCAGATCATATACGAAGAACCCCACGTTGATCTTTTTCCAATGTAACTTTCGGAACACTAGAGGTCAGTCATTTACAACACCATTTTAACCGCTCTCTTCAAGTTTATCTATGTGCAGACTACAGCAATGCCTCAATAGAGAAATGATTGTCAACACTGTGTTTTACAGTGCAAGATTAACTGTAGTTCTAAATACTCTCAGAAAAACTACACAATTTTTCAGCTGGAAAATGCATTTAGCATAGTTCTCACTCTGTGGTTTCAGAATAGAAATTTCTGTTGAACTCAATTTTATCCCACTCAAAAATAGTTTAAATTAAATTTACTTGTCAGAGATACTATGGCTTATGGAAACATGTAATAAGATGTACTTATTTCCAAAATAATATTCAACTGTTAATCTCTAATACATCCATTAGGAAATCAATAGTTTGAAATTTTAAAAATAAATCATTTTCCTAATTTTTTCTATTTATTGAATGAAAGTATTCCTTTTCAAGAGTAATACTATGTATAAAAAAAGTTGGAGTCAAAATATAGACATACAGTATATAATAAAATGTATTGAGCAAATATAGCAAAATATCTCAATTAATATTGATCATAGAGTTAGACAATAATCTAGATATTACCAACATTCAGTGATGCCTTCAAAAATATTCTTCGACTTTAATGCAGACACACATACTTTTTATCTATATAAATAGAAAAACACGAGCCATTTTGAAAGTTTTTAAGAACTTACCTCTGAAATAAAAGCGCCAATATTTTTAACATGGGTTAGCATGGGAGTGTCAGGCACAAATGTACATTTGTCCTTAGACTTTTTATACTCTTCTTTATAATGGATCTAAAAAAAAAAGAGAGAGAATCATGTACATGAGAAAGAAGAAAAACAATTGTAATGACCTTTTTTGAACAGAAAATGGAGGTGATAAATTCCATTTTCTGAAGTAAATATTCAAGTGTGGAACAATTCTCAAAATAAGCCAAATTGAATAAATGGAGATCCAACCCAGAACTGCAAAGCCATGCAGTGGGGTGAGAAAAGACTTACCTCCAATGAGCAAGGGCCCAGTTACCATTAAGGAGCAACACTAAGAAGATTGGGCCACAGAGGATGGTTCCCGCTTCCCCAGCATAATTATCAAAAGGTCCATTTCACTGCCACAAGTGTCCTAGTTTGTTGAGATTTTTAAGACACTGACCTTGACAGGTAAGTCTGTGTTCAAACAGAAACATCCGTCTACCTCAAGACAAGCAGTCTTTAGAACAGACATAATACATTAAGAAGAAAGAGGCAGAAATTAAACAAATGGAGGTTATTACTAGCAATGTCACCCATACAGGCTGGATGGAAGGACTGGGGCTTCCACTGTGGGCTTCTGTTTACTAATTAATCCCCCAAACCAATAAAACTTTTCTGATTTATTAGCACCCTTTACCTCCTCATCCCTCTCCCCTCCCCACAACAAGAGCAGAATCTGTCCAGGTGCTAGAGATTATTCTAGAATACCCCCTGGCCAGGGGCAGGCAGAGCAGCCAAAGAAAGTCCCCAAAGGTTTAGCTGAGCGTGTTCATTTCTTCACTCAAATTGACCAGCAAAATGAACCACTCCCTTCTCCTTGAGGAGAGCCCATGGACACACAAGCCAAAAGAAGTCAGGAACTTCAAGGACCTCAACTGTCATCCTACCGTCATGCTAATTGGTACACAAACTGAAAACTGGGGAGGCAAAACCTCGCCAAGAGATTGGAGGCAATTTGTTGAAAGTTATGTCTCCCTATAATAAAGTCATATATCTACCCAAGACTGTAAATACTCAGGCTGGAAAAACTGTCCCAAGTCAGACAATAAATTATATAGTCTTCCTAATTATAACCCCAAAGTGACGTTTAATTGTATACACTACCTGGTTCTTAGAGGACGTGATTAATATTGATGTTACATGCTAACATTCCCTGGAGATTTTGCCATATGCAAACCTGATTTGAGGGGCATTACTTGACCTGAGGTATAACCAGATACAAACATATTAAGTAAAGTTATTTCAAAATTCCCCTATTTCACTGCTGCGGCTCTTAGATATTAATGCCTCCCACATTAAACACTGGCTTTATTCATGAAATCAACATGAGAACATATTTATCTTATCTGAGCACTAAATTACTTTTTTTCTTCTCAGAGATTAGCCATAATTTTAGGTTCCTGCAAATCGCCCTCCTCAGTCACTAGTAATTAAATCGTTAATGGCAGTATGATAAATAGTAGGCTATTTTGATCATACAGAGGGAAAAAAAAAGTATCTCTGTTATATAATTAAGTGTGAGAAAAAATAGCCTATCATTAGGCTTAAGTTTGACTCATTATTTTTATCTTTTGCTACATCTTTTCCCCATCACATTCGCATTCTTCTCCACTGCGGTATGTGCTTACGGCTACAGGCCTCCTGATAAAGTCTGACATACACAGAATGTTCTGGATAGGAGTGCTGGATAAGAGTGAAGGATTTACTTCCTTTACTAGGCAGGCAAATAGTTCAGTCTTAATTGAGGGCTCCGTTAACTCTCTTTGGTCTTTACTAAAAAGATACCTACATTTGCATCTCTGAATTGAAGTTACATTTAAAAACAAGATCATTTGCTACTGCCCTTCCATTGTTCAGATCATAAGGCCATTAGCATTCACACACCCAGGATTGTGTGGATTTCTGATGAATCTCTGTGTGCGATTTGAGTTTTCAGACAAATAAAGAACGTTATGTATTAATAGCCTTGCTATGCCAGAATGGGCAGCAGCAGTGATTTCAACACCAGGCATTAAGCCACCGTAATAACCGTGAGAGGACAGAAACAAAGGTGCCTGGGAGGAGAGCATCCACCTTTCTAAGATTAACCCACCTACCTCCATCCAGGTTTTGTGCATAAAGAGGGGAAAAAAAAAAAACACCCATTTAAGTCACTGGTCACTGTATTTGGGTTTTCCTGATAGAGCCATCTGCACTTATAAACTATACACAGCACAACATATTTTCAAAGTAAAAATAACAGGGGGTCAAAGTTGATGACTTTATAATCAATAAGATGCCCCCAAACATTTATTTTCTCCTTTGAACCCACCCACTAACCCCAGGATGTCTCGACTACAATTAAATTAGCTCAGCATCGCTTCCTTCTCCTGGTCAAGTTTCTTCCAGAGAGTATGAAATTAGCTAATGGATGACATTGGATGACAGAAATGGAAAGGTTTGAGGATATTTCTTCTTATAAACATTCTGAACTGGTAGTATCTAGAAAGTCTTTTCACAAATGAAATCATACCAATTTAATTCAGTAAAGCCTGGAAGAAAAAACGTGGCTCCAGTGTTATTTGTTAACCGGGCACACGTCATTGCCAAGGTCACTCTCCCAAGTTTCCTTACAGGGTCCAGGCTTTTTCTGGAGGAGTGACCACAGAATTTAACACTTTTAGCCTTGAGAGGATTTATCTGCAATAAATGGTGTGTGTTTGCCTGGAAGATGTTCTCACTGCCTGAAGCTTCAAACCACAACAGTGAGTCAGAGGCTGCAGGCAGATGCAGCCCAACTTGTTCTGCAGAAGGTTTTTTATGCCTTGTTTACACAAAACATACAAAAGATTCCCCTCTGCCCCATATTTTTTTATGGCCACCTGTCAGAAGGCTACTAGAGCCATAATTCTGGATGCTCAATAGAATGGGTAGGTTTAATTCATGTCAGGAAATAATTAAGAATTTGACAAACAGGACTAACAGAGAATGCCTACTTGGGGAAATAAAGGGTTAAATAGAGAGGCCACCTCTGAGCACTAGGTGTCCTTCAGAATTGGGAAGTGAGTCACACAGAAGGAAAGCCCATAATGTGGGTAGAGCAGATGCAACTCAGAAACTAAGTGGGGCCAAAGAAAGGAAAAAAGAAAAAAGGATTTAAAAAAAATAAAAAGAAACCATGAAAAATGCCTATGCTGATCCCCAAAGTGAAGCCACTTGACCTGAAAAACTGACATTTTCTCTCAGAGGAGGATTCTAAACATCGCGCAGGCCTCCCAGGACAGATCTCCAGGCTGATCTCACTTAACATTTGTATAAACGGTCTGGCATGCAAGGGATGACACAGCATGGTCCCCAGGTCCGCTGATGAGCCTGGCTCTGGCGGAGAGTGAAATGGCAAGCAGAAAGCCATGAGCCCAGAAGCCCTCAAAGGACCAGGAGGGGAAGCAGGAAGGCACAGATTAGATCTGGCCCTGGCGAGGTAAAAAGAATTCCAACTACTATCAAAAGATGATGGGCCCTAAGCTGTCAGCCACACGTCAGAAATTAGAAATGGAAATGGCTCTGACACACCACAGAGATGGGTTTGACAGCATTCTGCACCCCCAACAAGTCCAAGAAATTCTCAACCGCCTCACCAAGGGTGCTGGGAGGGAAACAAAGCAGGGTCCCACTCTACCACAGGTCACCTACAGCTGAGTGCTGTGCGCAGTTCTGGTCACCATACCCTGACAAAGACACAGGGAAGATCAGACGGCGGAGGACATGTGGAGAGGCAGCTCTCTGAAGAGAAACCCAAAAAACTACCCTTCTCATCTGACAACTGAGGCACAGAGGAATGTGACCACTTCCCAGGCTCTGGACATGTCCTCACCCCAGCCTCACCAGGTGGCCTTGGCTAAGCCATTCAACCTTGGGTCTCACACCAGTAAACTGAGGCTTACGGAACTTAAGGTACATGCTTGGCACACAATTTTAAAATGCACCTGGAGTGCCTGGCTTATAGAAGGGGAGGAAGGACATCTGATGGCCAAGACTTGGGGTTCAGTCAGACTTATGTCAAATCTCAGGGAGCTCCTGGGCTAAGAGGCTTGATCTGTGGCTTGTGAGGCTGTTAGCTGATAGTCTGTCTAAGACATGACGGATTATTTAAAAAAAAAAAAAAAAAAAAAAACAAGACACTGGAAGGTGTGTGTTTAAATTTGAGACCAGAGGTGGGGAGGTTGGGGTGGGGGTGCAGAACTCATGCACTAAATTAAACGCAGGACACCAGTAGATGGCACAACGAGAAATCTAATACAGGCTCGACTAAAACTCCAGTCTAACTGCCGCATGGCCTCAATTTTTTCTGTTCCAGCTTCATGATTAGTGCATTTAGATAACTCTGTAGCCACAGAGACTATAAGAGAGACAAGAATTTCAAATTTAAGTTCATCTGTTCCCAATTAAAACACTGATAACACTGAGAATGTATAAGAAAGTTATTACTTAATGATAGATTTAACCAAATGGCTCAAAAGCTAAAAGTTTAATGGAATCCAATATGCCAAGTCCTTCAAGGAAGAATTAAAACTCATTCTTAAAAAGACTGTACAAATTCCTTCTTTCATTTTGTGTGTGGGAGTTTGTTGTTGTTGTTATTGTTTGTTTTGTTTTGTTTTGTTTTTTTGGTGAGGAGACAAAAAGATTATTTTTTCAGGTTCCCCAATAATAAATATAAAAATTCTAAAAATGGGGTATCTTGATAGGTATAGAATTCTATTTGCAAACAGCATATGAACATGTACACTGATATAAATTAAATCAAAATTATCATGTTCTAAATATTTAAGTAGTACAGATGTCTGTTACATATCATAAATCTATGATAAATAGAAGCTACTTCCATATGTTTGATTTCACCTAAAGGGGAAAAAAATAACATGACCTTTGCAAAATGATAAAGGCTATCAGACCTCACTAGAGATTGGTTTTAAAGTCACTGTTAAGTGATCTGACTCAAAATAACTCCGACAAACTGTCTAATTAAAGTTACTACTTCAATCCTAATAGTATATTGAAACTATTACAAGGGAGGCCATAATAATTACACTTCTACAAAAACATCAAAGCTGGAACTATCTCCAGAGTTAGGAATTTGCAGTTTCAAATGACAGCCTTACTAATGCTAATATTAGTATCATAAGTAATGATAAAGCTAAGATAAACTTTGCATGGAAATCTACAGTGAGAGATAACACAGCAGAGAAAAAAAGAGGGCTTTGTTTTCAACTCTCAGTGCTTAACTATGTGATCCAGCAAGTTACTTAACTTCTGTGCCTCTGTCTCCTTGCTTCTAAAATGGAAAAACAGAAAGACCTATCTCATAAGCTGCAATGCCTGGCTCAGAGTACTCAATAAATCCTAACTGTCAATGTCATTCCATTATTATTTCAATTTACAAAGAACGTTCACATACATAAGTAGCTTATTACTATTAAGTAATAATACAAAGAAATACTTTATTTAAAATTTAATTAAATCCCATGTCGAGTATATGGAAAGGGTATGATTCATATCACCACTCTTTGGCTCTTTCTGACAAATCAGAATGAAATGAAGAGTCATATATAAAACACAATTGGATGGATGGATGCAAAGTTAAGTTCTAGTTGGGATATTTAATAACAGCTAATATTTATTGAGTACACTCATGTTCAAAGAGTATGCTTAGCATTTAATCTAACTATTATAAATATTACAGTTCATAAACTGAGCCCCACCAGGTTAATAACCTTCCCAAGGTTACTATTGAGTGGATTCAGGCAGATTGATTCAGAGGACCTGCTGCATGGTACCCCACTGCCCAAGATGAACTTCCTTTGAACACAAACACTTTTCGAATATTCTCCTCACTCTGCTCATTACCGACAACAGAAATAACCATACTGTCTTCATCTCTCTAAATGAAGACACAGGCATGTGTTTACAGGAACCAAATTTCCTTTATACCAGCAATTCTCACATCTGTTTATGAGGATCAGCTGAATTTTCATCCCTAGTGACTAATGTTTTTCTTTGTGCTTCTAGAATTCTAGTTTGCAGATTTACTAAATAGGTAGTATGTGCATTTCAAATAATTTCAGGATTACCTTGAAATGTAATAGCAACTAATCCCATTTACTGAAAAAAAAATGCTCCTTTTCAGTAATATCATCATCTAGATCAGGATTTTCAATATGCAGTTTATAAATCCTGAATTGTAAATGGATGTTATATGCATATAGGTATATGCCTTTTCTTAGTTTGAAAAATGATTGCATTCATCAGATTCTTCAAAAGGCCCTCAAAAATATTAACAATGATTTAGCTAGACAGCCTCCAAACCAAATTACGTCATTATATTAATTTTAGTCTTTGGGGTTCTCAAATGGAATATGCTTTGCAACCCAAGGCCTTATGAGTTCATGGCAGAAAGAGAGCAAAATTCATGAGAGACAGGATTCTGGATCATGAATGGGGAAACTTGTTCCAGCAGAAATTCTCTGTAAAGGTGACCTTAGGGAAATCACTTAAAATTTCTGGACTTAGTTCCCTGGGCCTGGAAAATAACTGTATGTTACCTAATGATGTCAGGGTTTTCTCCCCAGCTCTATGATGATATAACTGTTCCACACCTGCAATGCAAAGTCACACAGAAGTCACTGGAGCCACTTACATCACTAATGAGTTCAGTGCATTTTCTGGCCAATTCCATGCTTAGGTCTTCAATAACAGGCTTCGGGAATACCTGTTCAGAAAAAAAAAAAAAAAAAGGAACATTTTGTCCTCACCCATTACAGAACAAATTCGTTCTTGGGTACATTAAGTTCTCTCTCACGTACCTTGTCTTCTTCATCTTCTTCTTTCTCTGAGTTTCCCTCTTCGGTTCCCTCTTTCCCAGCCTCAAACGCAGGGTCCCTCATTCTTACCCTGTCAAAATATTTATATTTTTAAACTTCACTAGTGTAGCATCTTTTTTTTACAAACCACAGCACACTGGAGCTCCTATGTGTCTCTGGTGCTCGGGCAGGAATGACCTTGCCAGGCGTCACCCCTGGCTCACACTTCACCCTCCTTATCTCAATGGAGTGTGAGGGAATGGAATGGATCCCAGGGCTCTGCCAGGGTCAGCCTCACAGGAGGAAAGAACACTTTCTCAGGCGAAATCCAATCTGACAAACTTAAAGACAATATTCTTCAAACTGGTTAAGAAATCCAAAAGAGAAAATTTATCTTTCACTAATTCAATTCATTCATGAAACAGTATAAAAAGGACTTAGAGGGTCTAGGAAAATTTCTCAGCTAACGGTGCTCAAGATACCACAGCCCAAAGCCTGTTATCGCAAAGATTCCTCAACTCCGTCTAAATAAAGCTTTCTCTGGAATGTCAGCTCTGATTCCATATAGGGAACCTGGATCATTCAGACTCATTTCATTAACCTAAATTAAACATTTTATGAGACATTCACATACTTTCCACAACCTAAAAAATCCCCCACTTTATATTAGCTTATTAGGAGCTGGTAATTTATTACGAAAAGCCCTTTGAACCACTTCAAAGAATCTATTCTGAGTTAATTATGACTGTTAATCTTATATTAGGGAGCATTGTATTGTATTAATTGTAAACATCATTAAACATGTGCAGTTGCTGTTAATACATGTTGATATATCATTGAAGAATTCTAGAAATATCACTGCTTCAAAAAATAATCATCCTCTTGGATTCTGCTCAATGTGTCAATTTTCACAAATTCACTAGTTATTTGTGAATTCCTCAGTGCTTACTATACACTTGGGAAAAGTTGGAAAAATAAACTATCACAATATTTATTATGGGGTATATGTCACCAGTTATATTACTAAATATATATTTCTCACAAAAAATCCTCTATTGTCCATTTAGGCAATTTAAGACTCAATATAATGCATAATTTATTCATTTGGCTATTTTAATCATAAGGTGAATTTATTTTTACAAAGCAATAGCATATTAGTGTTAGATATTGTAAAAATACCCTATGGTGAATAATGAAACTGCTTATATAAAATGCATCTTTAATCAAAATAATAATTCCAAACAGCCAAATAGAATACCATTTTCTCTTGATATGCAATCTAGTTTTCAACTTATTAAGGCCTTGGCCTTAATAAAAAAAAAAAAAAAAAAAAAAAAAAACATCATTCAAGAATTGCTGGATGAACTCTTGGCCTTACCTAAACTGAAAATTCTGACAAGAAAAACATCCCACATAATTGTAAAAAATAGATCATTTCTCAAATTGTGTTTCATGAGGGAAAAGTCCAAAACAATATTTGGCAGGGAAAAAAACAAGTTTCTGTTTAAATGTTAAATGTTTCATGTTTGGGAGACCTGTATACTAATCCCTACCTGCCTCTTAGAAATCCACATGCCATAATGACATTTGGATTTTCAGCCAAAAATAGACCTGTTTAGGTTTCCTTAACCTGCCATTTCCCAAACAAGAATCCTGTCCATTTCATCTCATCTATCGTTTTTTTTTTAATGACACCTGTTACCCCAGAAAACTTCTTTTTTCATTCTTCTATAAAGCATTATTTAGGGAAACACTGCTCTATTCGGACAAAATGTCATGTTCTAAAAGAATTATTGGTATTGTCATGAAATGATTTTGGGGGGAGGTGTGAGCCACATCCCCAGTCCTATTTTGTATTTTATTTAGAGACAGGGTCTCAATGAGTTGCTTAGCACGTCACTTTTGTTGAGGCTGGCTTTGAACTTTCTATCCTCCTGTCTCAGCCTCCCAAGCAACTGGGATTATAGGCATGTGCCACCGTGCCCGGCTATGAAATGGTTTCTGATACAGGTTAAATTAATGACATTGCATATGGTGCTTACCAGCAAAATGCCAAAAAGAAACTGTTCCTGGCATGCTGAATTTGAAAAGAGGCATGTCATGCCCGCCTAGTGCAACAGATTCTACAAGGAAACTCACTGGGCATTATACTTGTTGCATAAGGGGAAAAACACATGGACTCTAGTGATTTCCCTCAAGGTTCTGCCAAAAGACTATCGTAATATGCTGTAGAAGATCTATTACATGAATTTTAGGGAGGAAACAAGTTCAAGGGAGTAACAATTTCTGAAAACTTTTCTTATAAACTTCTAGAAGTACAGAGAGGAAATCAAGCCAAAACTGCCTAAGGCACACCTCTGGGCTCATATTTGAGATGACAAAACGTTGCTGGTTGTGATGTCTATTCCCCATGGTGAACTGTCCAAATTAGGGCTGAGCAGCAGCCATCCTCTCGTTCCAGTCATTCAGTGAGTTCTTATTGACTCTCCATTATGCTGCAGGAGAATAATCTGTTGAGATTTAATGCACAAAAGTTTCAAACGCAAAACCAAATACAACATCGTTCGTTGTGAACACAAATTTTCCATTTGAGATTTTAGAATCAGAATTTCAAAGCCAGTGGGATCCTTAAAGAAAATGATATACCTACAGCCCTCTCTTTTACAGAGGACAAAATTAAAGCCAAGCAAAAATAAACTATCTCCTTTGCACAGTTATTCAATGGAGTTCTATAATTACAACCTAACTAGAGCCCTGTTTATTCAAATACAAGTATTGTTAGGCTGGATACTCTGCTTGATGATAGAAGGATACAATGGTGAATAAAACATGTTTTGTGCTAAGATTAGGTATGAAATAAAAATCCCATCATTCAAGACTTGCTGGATGAACTCTTTAATGGATTGTCTGGCAAGCCGCATACACCATTACTTTTGATTGAATGCATCTTTCTTCCTTTCACCTATGAGTATAATATAAAATTCATGTCAAGTTTTCTCTAAAAAATTTTAAGCTCTGCACTTTATCACAGCAAAGCTCTCCTGTCAGTAGCGCTAAAATCTGACTTGGGGGATCAGAAAAGTGTTTTTCATGGACAAAGTTCCCTATCATCTTTTTTTAAACCAAGTTTAATGTTGTATTCTAGTACATATTTTTACCTTGGGGTACCCCCGAAGGGAATATCTGTATAGCTGCTAATCCCTGTTACTTATCCTGCACTTCATTTTTGTTGTCTTTTTTTTTTTTTTAAACTTTGGTCATGTCCCCATGCTGTGATACCGAATGGGACCAAGATGGGAATCACATTCCTTATAGTGAAACCTTCAACCTCCAGATCTAGATCTACCATATCCTCTAGGGGAAATTATTTAATCCTTCTCTGCTTCTAATTCTGCATAAACAGAAAAACTAAATTACTGTAAGTTAATAAATGGAAAGCACTTGAACAATTTCCAACTAACCAGTAAAGGTACAGTTACAGGAGAAGCAGGGTTTTCTCATTGAAAAGGATGAGACTCTGTGCCATCAATATCATCTTTTTTTTTTTTTTTTTGGAGGGGGCGCTGGTACTAAGGAGTGAACTCAGGGGCACCTGAACACTGAGCAACATCCCCAGCCCTATTTTTGTATTTTATTTAGAGACAGGGTCTCAGTGAGTTGCTCAGTGACTCGCTTTTGCTGAGGCTGGCTTTGAACGCACGATCCTGCTGCCTTAGCCTCCTGAGCTGCTGGGATTTCAGGCATGAGCCACCATGCCCAGCATCACCAATATCTTCTCAAAGGTAAGAAAGGTCTCCCACAACCTGAGAGCCTAAAGATAAGAGCGAAGTTATGTTTTTATGATATACGGGTCTTCCAATCTTTCTGTAGTTTGATATGTATGCATAGGCAACTGTATTTCCATAGTAACTGCTAAGTGGGTGACACCCTTCTCTGGAAACACAGCTCCTGGCCAAGGAAACATATCTGTGCCAGCACTGCAGTCACAGAGCACCTGACTGTCCTCAGTGTCCTGAAGGTCACACATCCCGTTTTTGATGTCTTAAACTTTTTTCACTTCTTTCTCCTTTCTTTTCTTCCTAGTGATAACTAGTGATAGCAGATGTGCTCTTCCTCAACACCATGACAAGGGACTTGCAAATGTAAATTCATAAACAAATAGATCAATCCTGAATTGAAATGAAGGCATCCAGGGGGTGTCACTAAAATATGCACCTTGGTATGCTGATTGTTTTAAATTGAAGGAACTTGCCTAAGGCACACCTCTCGGCTTAAGATGCCGGAAGAGGCTCTTCTGAAGTTCCTATATCTACTGCAGACTAGACCTGCCAATGATAATACAAACTGCTCAGTTAATTTTTTCAACCAAGGAAGAGTAAGGTCACATCATAGAAGAGACTGAAAGTCCAACATCACCCCAAGAAACCAGGAAAATTCTGTCCTAGTTACCATTAGTCTCCAGGCCCATTCACTTCCCCTGAAAATCATTTCCTCTAAAACTGCCCTTCCCCCATGAAGAGGGTATATAAGCTTCTGAATCTCACCGGGCCATTGGATACTTGTCCTTTGGGTACTTGTCCTTCCATGATGCCCCCATGTACATAGTAACCTGTATGCCTTGACCTCTGTTAATCTGTCTATTGTCAGTTTATCTCAACAAACTCAATGACTCAAACTTCAGAGAGCAGAGGGGAAGTTGCTTCTCTGTTAAGGAAAACTTGCAGAGATAAAATGATTTGATTTTATACTAAAATGAATTCAATATTTCTTATTATAAAATATCTATCCTAAATGATCAGGTAAGAGAAGAACTAACTTGCCTGATTCAATTTCCTGTTGGGACAGTTTTTCATGCTCATTTTTAGCTGCCTGGTTTTATTTATCACTGTCCCTCGGAAAGTTCCTACTTCTTGATGGAATCCCAAGCAATTTTACATTTGCCACATCTTTACACATCACTTGGCATCTGCCCAAAAGAGAACTTTGCTAATAGATAAGTGGGAAAGAAACAAGAAATGAAAGCACTCTAGGGCAATTTGTCCTCTTTATAAAAGAGATGAGTTCTGCTGAATATTAGCCCAGTCTATTTTCATAATTTACATTAATTAACATATCTTCTTTTTAATGGCTCTTTCATTACTGTTTGTTCATTAGAAATCAAAAGAACACAAAGCTACCTTAGTAATCATCACGATTACCACTCGTGCTACTAAAATAAGATTTAATAGGCTTGTTTATATTTAATTTCCATTTTCACACATATAGATCCTACATATGTAGCCAGATACTGAAGGAAGAGAAGAACAAGCAACTGCAAATAATTGGGGGCATAACAATTATTTGATGGAAAGGCCAAAATTAACAGGATAATTTTTTTCTCATTGAGAGAAGAAAGGTGCTCCTATTCACTGTCTATATTAACATAAGCATCCAATGAACTGGTTTAATTTGCAACCTACTTGAGATGTTATTTCAATGACGTTAACACCATGATCACTCCTGCAATCCCAACCCTAAGTAGAACCCCAACGTTTGAGTGGTCTACATGAGATTTATAACTAGAACCAAAAGGTCAAGTCAGATAGAACAGTTTGAATACCACCAAAATTATCTCTTTTCTAGATTATTGTGTGAAATGTGTCAGGAATAATCATGAAGGGCCTTGAAATTGGCATATAAAACAACAACAACAACAAAAACTAGTGGGTATCTTATCTAGAGCTTCATTAGGACCATACTGTCCTTTCACTGCCTTGGAACTACTTTAAAATTCCATAAATTGTTGAAAACTAAAAATAATACAAATTATCCTTATCCACAGAAATGGAAATTAACTGTGTCCTGGGGAACACAATTGATTATTGCCCTGCAGACTGACCCTTTTTCATCTATTTATAAATCTACTACAGCATTCCCTATTACTCATTGCATTTTAGCTTTGAAAATGTACCTTTGACCCAACTGTAACATCTTACTGGTACCCTCATTTATTAATTTTGAAATGTGCTTGTTTATGCTTTAGGAAACTCATTTTTAAAAATTTATCCTTTAACAGTTGTGACTTATTCAATTATCCTCAATTCCTTCTTTAACATTCAGCAAAAAATAGAAAGGGAAAGGGAGTCTTAGAGAACTATCTCTTTTTTCTCAATTGTGAAATAGCTGTAAAAATTTTTTGGCATCTATTAAAATCAGCTTTGTTTTGTTTTATTTTGTTTTCAGGTCTGACCTCTTTTGACTTTTGGCAAATGCCACATGTGTGCTTGTACATATGTACATTCACACACAAAAAACACGCACAACACACCCGCGCATGCACACACACATACACACACACACACTCTCTCTCTCTCTCTCTCAAGCAGAGTTAATTCACCACAGCTGCCAGTTCCCGCCTGAAAATTATAAAAGGCTTCAATAAATGCAAAGACTTAATTACTTCTCACATCTGGAAAAACTTGAATATGAGAGTGGATTTATTGAAGAAGCTCTTGGCTTGGCTGTCAACACCATATCCAGAGCCAGAAAGAGAGCAGGCTTGATCACTCTTGGCAATTCTTTAACCCATTCAGAGATAGATGATCATCAATTAATTCATAACATGGCCTGTTTACATGATTTATGAATTTTATGAAAACATAATAAAGTAAATAATTTCCTAGTAACTTATGGAGAAAAGCTGTCTTTGTCATGTTTTGGCAGTTGGAGGTGGGGGGATGATACATTAAACTGTGGAAATAATGAAGTCCTTATATTCAAGGAAACAAAGGAAAGACTTCGAGAGACTCTACAGCATAGTGAGAATGGCCATTAGAATAATAACTTACATAAACACATGCAAAATTAGATAATTTGGCTCTTTCATGAGAAAGTGTGATAAAATGTTTCTGAAAGGGAACTAGGAAAGTTACATGAGCTCATTGAAAGAAGACTTAGCAGAAACTAAGAACTGGGCTGATCTCCGCCAGAAAAGAATATTTAAGCTGGAATTAAGCAAAGTGATAGGATTCAGGGAAGGCATCCAAAGAGCATTTGCAAAAACCCAGGGACAAGAGTTGAAGGGACCAAAAGTTCAATGTCACTGGAGCATACGCAAGGAGAGAAGAGGGAAGAGGAGGAGCTGAGGATCTTGCCAGAGACCTCAGGGGAGAGGATGATGAAGTAAATGTATGGAAATCACTTATCCTGACACAAAAAGCTTAAGCTGGTTTGAACCATGAACCCTTTACAAATAACACAGTTCCTGGTCAATTAACTGTGGAAGCAGCAGCTTTGCAGCTACTCTATTCCCTTTATATGCCTTGAACTTAATTTTTACCCCTCTCTGTTATCATCAGCCAAATGAAATATTCCTTGTGTATCTGGACATTATGAAAATTCCTAGTGAAGAAAGTATTTTCAGGTCTATTATGTCTTTGAAGGAAAATACTCAGGGGAAATCCACTTGTATTATGTGTACCCAGAAATAAATGAAATTTCTGCTAAATGTGTCTATAATATAAATTTTACA